ACTGTGTCGGAGAGAAGCCGTTACAGCAAGGAGGAACTTGAAAGTCTTTTCTTTCCCTGTTTATTTCATTTAAAAGCAAAAATTGTTTTCCAAGGCAGAGCGAGGGTTCTGTGTGGAGCCTTTGAAGCCAGGCTGGGACAGCAGCGGGGCTGGGGGCCCTCCCTGCTCCTGGCAGAACCCATTTACTGCCGGTCCCAACCCTGCCAAAGCCCCGGGACTCTGGGCTCGGTGCTGCCTTGCCTGGGGTGCTGCCAGAGGGGTCCAGGCAGCAGCAGCCCCTCTCCCACAGCTCACCCCACACCAGTTACCTGATTTAAAGGCTCTTCCTGCCTCTGGGCTCAGGAGCAGCAGCATTTTTAGGGATGACGTGACCATAAAGGCAGGTCCTGGACCCCTGTGCTGCAGCACAGACCTGCATGCACCGGGGTGGCAATGCAGGAGCCGAATTTGTTCCAGAGGGGAACGGGGGGCTCACGTGGGACACGTGGGGTGTGCAGGTGTGCAGGTGTGCCTCGGTGGTGGTCAGTCCCTGTGCTCAGACCGGGGGGACACAAGGTGCCCGTCCCAGAGGAGTGGCAGGAAGGTCTCACACCCCTTCACGGGGACCCGGGGCTCTGAGGGAACCCCTCGCTCGGCAGATGAGGTGGGTCCATCACTGCTCCAGGTGCCACGAGGGCTCAGCTCGCTGTCCCCACTGCCCTGCTGCCCCCGTGCCGTGCCGGGAGGGCTGTGGGGGCACAAGGGCTGCGAGATCAGGCCTGAAGCACCATCAATTTGCTCTGCCCTGTGGCACAGCAACAGGAGCTCCTCGGGAAGGCAGGTGGGGCCAAGAAAAATCCCCTTCCAAAATGCTCCCTGCCCGTGCAGCACTCTGGGCATGAACCATTGGTGCTTTGGTGCAGCTTCACTGGGGCTTTGGTGCCGTTTTGATGCAGCTTTGCTGAGGTTTTGGTGCAGCTTTGCTGAGGTTTTGGTGAGGTTTTGATGCACCTTTGGCTGCTCACAGACCAACCCCTGGCTAGAGCAGAATGCTGGCTCCAGCAGTTGCTCTGGCTCCAGCAGTTGCTCTGGCTCAGCCCACACGAAGTTCCCTAAGGGAGCTCCCCAGGGCAGGGGCAGTGCTGGTGGCCACGGGCCTGCTCCGCCGGGCTCCTGGCTGTGCCACAGCGCAGGAGTCCCGTGGAAGGGACCCCGAGTCAGAGCCAGGCTCCCAGAGCCCAGAGCAGCCTGTCTTCCTCCCACCTTTCCCTTACCCCGTGCCCAAATGGGTGCAATCAGGACTCTGGTTTGCAGGAAACTGCTTTTCCACCTGAATTCTAGTCTCCCCTTGTTTTGCTGTAACACAGAATTTGAGGGTGATTTATGGCACATAAAATGCTGGCCGTGTTAGGATCATGGAGTCACAGAATCCCAGATTTGGAGGGACCTCAGGGATCACCTGGTCCAGTCTTCTCTGGGAAAGGTCCAGACGGGACAAGAGGCTGTCAGGTGCTGGAGAAGGGCTGCAGGGCATTGTCACCCCACTGTCCTCGGCCCAGAGGCACTTTGGGGTGTGGGCAGGGGTCCCGTGCCAGGCGTGTGGGCTGCGGGAGGGCGGGAGCGGGGCCAGGGCCCTGTGGTTAATTAAACAGATCATTTCTTTAAAGTGAGATTCAAATAATTGTAACCCTGAGATAGAGAAGGCATTGGAGGAGATGAAATGGGAGAGAGAGAGAAAGGAAGCAAAGGACAGAGGTTCAGAATGGAGAGGGAGATTAGGAGAGAGATGAAAGAGAGAGGAGAAAGATAAGAGGGAGAGAGGGGACAGATCTCGGCGCGAGATGGGCGTTGCCAGGGAAACGGGAAGAATGAGGGAGCAACTGGAGGGATGGAGGAGCACAGGATACTGGGGGTGGGGAGCGAGGGATGGAGGAGCGAGGGATGGAGGAGTGAGGGATGGAGGAGCAGAGGGATGGAGGAGCAGAGGGATGGAGGAGCAGAGGGATGGATGAAAAGAGAGATGGAGGCTGGAGGGGTGGAGGAGCAGACGGATAAAGCCTCGGTGTCAGGAGGAAAAAGGGAATTTCCAGCAGAACAGGAAGCAGGAGTGGCATGTCAGAGCTCACACAGTTCCTGTGTGCTGGGAAGAGCATTTGGGATGGCAGCTCTGTCCCTCTGCAGTGAGCAGCCGCAGCACCGCTGCTGTCCTTAGCCCGACCCAGGTGCCAGATCCCTGGGCACATAATGGAGGAGCCAGGCAGCTCTGTGCTCATCACACTTTTGCTCTGCAGCACTGGTCACCTCTGGTTATTTGAAACCATTCCCTTTTCCCTCCCAGTCAGAGTTTGCCAATAACCATACATTTTCAAAGGGGTAAATATTTACCTCTGGTTGATGGACACAGTGATCAGAGTGAGACTATCCCAGTTCCATGGAATGTTTCAGAGGAAGTACCCCTGAAGAGGCTGGGGAGGGTTTGATGTGCTCTGATAACACCCTCTTCTCCATGAGCCCTTGTCTCTTCCAGAGCATCACTTTCCCCAACTTGGTTTTCCTCCTGTTCTTATTAAGACATGATCAACATCCCTCTGCAAACCCCAGGTTGTGCCCTTTGTTTTGTGAAGCCAAAGCCCCCAACGACTGCTCTTCCTGCCCCCAGAAGCACTTCAGTGGCAGTGATGTCACGTCTGTCACTGGCTGGAGATTGTGGCTCTCTGATCCACTGACAGTGGAGGTTTCTTTTTTCTGGAGAAGTTTTCCTTAAAACAAAAGTTTTCCTTTAAAAATGTAGCTTGACAGTATCTAGTGTGGAGGCACCGACTGAATTTAAACAGGTGTTTGTTTTCTGTGGCTCCTGCCCGTTTCTCAGAGCTTTGGCTCGTTTTTACAGCAGTTCCTCTGTATCAGGGTCAGTTCTGGGGCAAGAAGTGCCAGTTTCGGTTCTGCCACGGTGCGTAGAGCCACTCTGTGGTCAGCCCCTGGCACAGAGCCAGGGCCAGGCAGTGCAGCCAAGGTGACCCCCAAATCCGTGGGCTGGGGTAGGACAGACATGCTGGGTCAGGTTTAAGAATAATTTTAGTTGTGATTTTCAGGAAAACAACATTTTTCTGTTTGGAATTGTGGGGGGCTGAGCAGCTTTATGTGAAATCTACAGGCAAGATGAAAGCCTGTTTTCCCCTTTATTAAATTTAAATGAAGGCTGCTCTTGAGAAAGGAAGGAAAATAAAATCAAAGGTTTTCTCACAAATATCAGATCCATTATCAGCCATTTTTGGTAAAAAGTCTTGAACAGTTTTACTGCACCCTTCCCCAGTGAGAACCCCGAATGCCCAGGGTCTCCCTTTGTCCTGGGGCTCAATCCTGTGCCTCGGGAGCTTTCCCCGAAGATCTGCAGCACCACATCTGTCCCCAGGGAACCCCCCAGGCGCTGGGAGCAGAGGGTCTGCAGAAGGGTCCCACCGAGAGCCCTGTGAGGGGGGTCCTGCAGGGGATAGCCAGGAGCCAGTCCTAAATGTCCCTTTCCCGTGGCACCGGTTTGTCAGGTGGCCTGGGGACCTGCGCAGGGTCAGGTGTCTCACACTGCTGCTGGTGCCAGCTGGGCTCTGGCACCTGCTCAGGTGCTGAGGTGAGACAGGGCAGGGCAGCAGGGTGGGCTCCTGCACGCCTGCTGGGGGTCGCTGCTCCTTGGGAGAGCTGAGAAGTCAGTCAGTCCCCCAAACCCTTTGGATTTTGGGAACCTGCAGGAATGGCTGGGTGGGAGTTGGTGAACGCTGCTGCCTCTGGGCTGGGAATGGAGCCCGGTGGCAAACAGGGGTCACTAATGGGGCAGCAGGGGCTGTGCCCCCCCAAAGCTGCTCCTGGGGGCCGTGCCTTGGATGGCTTTGAGGGCGTGGGGGCTCTTTACTCAGACCCCTTTGGGTCTCGGGTGTTACAAACCTGTGGGTGCAAAGGTGAGGCTCCTGTGGACCAGATGTAATGTTTCCGTGCTGCTCAAGTGAGGATTTACCAGGCTCTTACCTCTACAGTGGTGGTGCTGGCCGAGGGGCCGGGTGGGGTGGCACAGGATTGGGCAGGTGGGTGAAAACCAGGGAGGAAAACAGCAAAGGGAAGGGAAACGTGCCCACAGACATGGTGCTTAGCCTGGTGGCTGGAAAATCGGGAATCCAGCAAGGAATGTGCTGGGAGTGGAGAACCTGCTGTGCAGATGCTGCTGCCAGAGGGACCCAGAGAGAAGTGAGTATTTGGGGAGCTAATCATGGAACAAGAGAGGAAATAGAAGTAAAATAGCAAAAGAAGTGAAAGCCATGAAAAAAACCTACTGTAAGTGACCAGGTGGTGAGTGAGGAGCTGGTGGAGGCTCTGAGGGGGGCAGCCAGAGCAAGGGAGGGCAGAGTCTGCAGGATGTGCCAGGGCAGAGCCTGGATCTTCCCAGATGTGTTGGGAAAGACGGGAGGAGAGATTGCACCAAAACTAAACCTTGGAGTGGGAGGAGAAATGAAGAAAGAACCCCAAATTTCATAACTCCAAAGGATCAGGGACAGCAGCCCTGATCTGCTGGCTCTAGGTGCATCCGTCCTGCGGTGCTGGTGGCTGGGAGGTGGAGGAGAGGACTGGGAGCTCGGCACATGGCAGTGGCAGAGGGGACATTGCCAGCGTGTCTGTGTGACCCCCGGGTGGGACCGGGATGGGCAGGCGAGGGTCTGCATCGGGAGATGAGCCCCAGGGACCCGAGCCAGGCCCCAAGGGCTGGCCTTGAAACCTGCAGGTTACTGTGGCTGGAGGAGGGTTTGTTTCCCTCCTCCTAGGAGCCTGAGGGCATGCAAGTTTGTTTCCTCCAGCAGCACTGGAGGGGCCCCGAGCGTGGGGGTGAGAGCCCGCGGGTGCTGGCGGAGGTGCGGGCTGGGAGGAGGAGGAGCCGCAGGTGCGGGAGTCCCTGCGGGGGACAGGAGGCTCCGCAGTGCCCGGGGCCCAGCGGGGCTGCGGGCAGCGGGCAGCGGGGCATGGGCAGCGGGGCATGGGCAGCGGGACCGTGCCGCGCTGCTGGGGCGAGGCTGGCAGCGCTCTGCCGGGAGTTTCCTGCGGGAGCTGAGTACACGACCCTACCTCGCTTGCCAGTGCATTGGGAAACGGCGTTTCCAGCTGCCTTGGCAAGTCCCGGGGCGCGGACGGGGAAGTGAGAGCGGGAAGTGAGGCAGCTGCCTGTGCCCTGCTCCTCTCCCCCGTGCTGTTTGTGCAGCTGCGGCTCCCGCGGCCCCGGACAGCAAATCTACACCGTGTAGATGGAGACAAATCTACTCGTGTGCGCGATGGAGACAAGTGCAGAGAGGTTTGTGCAGCACAAGGCTTCGGCTCTCCTGCTGAGGAAGGGAGCTCGTCCCCTTTCCCAGTGCCCAGAGCAGGAATCCACATTTACTTCCCCCTCAAAGCCTCTGCTTTGGGGTGGCTGTAAGATTCTCTGGTAGGGTCTGGGGAACGTGTGGGTGCGTTGTTCTTGTCTCGGGGGGTTGTTTTGGGGGGCAGAGACCCAAGCAGCATGCTGTGGGGCCACTGACCCCTCTGCCATGCTGGCTGGTGGGGAGAGCAGCGGGTCCCTGTGCCGTGTCCCCGCTCCTCTGCCGTGCTGGGGCAGCTCGGGGCCCGCGGGCAGGGCTCCCAGCATGCGGGGTACGGCCCGGGCTGTTGGGGCACGCCAGCTGCCGCCTCCCTGACTGATCCCCCTTCTTCCTCCCGCCCTCCTCCTCTTCCCGCCGCCGCCCTCCCCCACTCCGTGCTTTGTTTCGCTGCCTCCGCACTAGTCCTCCCCTCATCCCCTTCCTTCTCCTCCTTCTCCACCCCCATCCTCTTCCTCTCCATCTCCTGCCGCCGCCGCCCGGCCGCGCTCCCTGCCCGCTGCTCTGCGGGCGCTCGGGCAGGGCAGGGCTGCCGGGCACAGGGGCTGAGACCTTCCCCTGCCAGCTCAAGCCAGGGCAGGGTCCCCTCACCGGCTCTACCTCACCCTGGCCCAAGAGCCACCAGTGCTGTGCCAGTGCCAGCCCCGCGGTGGCCCGGCAGATGGGAGGGAACTGAGGAGGGACCCCAGATGTCTGCGGGCAGCCAAGCCCCCGTGGTTGGTGTTGCTCCCCTTCTCTGCCTTTTCTCACGCCGGTTTTGACTTCCCCATCATCCCACCCCTTCCCCACCCCGTGCCGTGTGCTGTGGCCGGTGTTTGCCCAGGGCAGTGGCATGAGGGGACACTTCTGGGGTCGGCAGGAGCCAGCAGCCGCCTGCAGCACAGAGGGGCCGATGTCCCCGGCCATGCTCAGTGTCCCTCTGGCCGACCTGGCTGCAGGGATGGTGCCCAGGTATCGTGGGGTTTCCCTTCTCCAAAGTGGAGGTTCAGCCCACGATCTCCTCATGCTCTGGGGTTCTCCTGGGACTGTGACAGAATCTGGCTCAGAATTTATCCCTGTTTTACCTCCCTCGCAAGATTTCTTTGTTGTAGCTGCAGGAGTAATTGTATTTAGGAGAACACTCCTCCAGCAGGAGGAAGCAGCAGCTCCCAGGCGCATCCTGGCTGTCCCTGCTGGGGGAGGGTCTGTGGTGGTGCTGGAGCCCCAGGATGAGTGTGCCAGCCCCCAGGCTGAGCAGCACAGCTCTGCCCGTGCCCGGCCCGCTGCCAGGCATGTGCCCTGCTGGGTCTGGCCCGTCCCTGCTCCCTGCTCCCTGTGCCCGCTGCTGCTGCTGCTCTGCCGGAGCTCAGAGCCACGCTCAGCTGGGCCCAGTTCCCAAACTGTGTGGGCACTTGCTCCCTGGGATCACTCTAGGAGCCTGAGGGGCTCAGCCAGGCCCAGTTCCCAAACTGTGTGGGCACTTGTTCCCTGGAATCACTCTAGGAGCCTGAGGGCATGCAAGCGGCCAAACCGCAGGTGCTAACAGCCCATCCAGAGAGGCTGAGGTGGGCAGATCCCAGCTTCCCTCCTGGCCCCGGCCCTACAGTGGAAGCCCTGGGGCCGCCGTGTCCCACATCCTGGGGTGTGTGGTGCTGGGCCCCACGCTGGCCCCACCCGTGTCGGTCCGGGGTTCTCTAGGAAGGAGGTGGCGGCCGGGCTGAGCCCTGCGGCATGGTGCCTGTGCTGGGGCGCCGGGGCTCAGGGCCGTGGGGCTCAGGGCCGTGGGGCTCAGGGCCGTGGGGCTCAGGGCCGTGTCTCTCCCCTCAGCCATGACAGCGTAGGCCGGCGGCGAGAGATGGATCGGTTCAGCGAGTGCGGGACGCAGACGGACGCCGTGGTGGTGCTGTCCCTGGCACAGGCTGCCGTCCTGGGCCTGGTGTCCGACAATGAGCTGCTCGGGGCCACCGTCACCCCTGCCGGCTTCTTCCCGGGGCTGGCCGGGGAGCAGCTGGACAGTGCCACCATGGAGCCCGGGGAGCCCGAGGGTGAGGAGCAGGCACCTGGGGACGGGCAGGACGAGGACGCCCTGGAAGCAGACTCCTCCCTGGAGAAGCATGCCCGGAGGAGGAAGAGGCCGCCCGTGAGGCTGATGCCCAAGGTCAAGAGTGAGAAGGCAGAGGTGGAGGCTGAGCCACCATACAACGTGTCGGTCCCTGGGGATGAGGAGGGCGAGGGGCAGCAGGGCCCCGCGCCCCAGCCCCCCGAGCCCAGCCAGGAGCCGGCGGTGCAGAGCGGTGCCGTGAAGATGATCGACCTGGGCACCTTCAGCAGGAAGCCCCGCCGCCTGCGGCACCTGCGCCGGCATCGGGAGCTGGAGGGTGCCGAGCGCCGGCGCAGGGGCGCTGACCAGGCCGGCAGCACTGTGGGGGCCCCGCAAACCGTGGGCACCTTCGAGGCGGGCGCCCCGTCCCCTGGGGAGGCGGAGGCCCCTGCGCCGGCATCCCCCGAGCAGGTGAAGAGCGAGCAGGGCTGTGGCTGGCAGGAGCCGGGGGAGCTGGAGGCGGCCGGCGGCACCAGCGAGCACAGCAGGAAGGCGCAGCTGGACCGGCTGGACATCAACGTGCAGATCGACGACTCCTACCTGGTGGAGGCGGGGGACCGCCAGAAGCGCTGGCAGTGCCGCATGTGCGAGAAGTCCTACACCTCCAAGTACAACCTGGTGACCCACATCCTGGGCCACAACGGCATCAAGCCCCACTCCTGCCCACACTGCAACAAGCTGTTCAAGCAGCCCAGCCACCTGCAGACCCACCTGCTGACCCACCAGGGCACACGGCCCCACAAGTGCGGGGTGTGCAGCAAGGCCTTCACGCAGACCAGCCACCTGAAGCGGCACATGCTGCTGCACACCGACATCAAGCCCTACAGCTGCCGCTTCTGCGGCCGCGGCTTCGCCTACCCCAGCGAGCTGAAGGCGCACGAGGTGAAGCACGAGAGCGGGCGCTGCCACGTGTGCGTGGAGTGCGGGCTGGACTTCTCCACGCTCACCCAGCTGAAGCGGCACCTGGCCACGCACCAGGGCCCCACGCTCTACCAGTGCCTGGAGTGCAGCAAGTCCTTCCACTACCGCAGCCAGCTGCAGAACCACATGCTGAAGCACCAGAACGTCCGGCCCTTTGTCTGCACCGAGTGTGGGATGGAGTTCAGCCAGATCCACCACCTCAAGCAGCACTCGCTCACGCACAAGGTAAGGGCTCAGGGTCCTCTGGGGTGCTGCCCTCATCGTGCCCAGAGGAGATGTGCCAGCTCTGGATGTGGGTGCTGGCGGAGAGGAGTGTCCCAGTGCCCCTAGTCCTGGCAGGAGGTGGGTGGTGCAGGTGGGCAGTAGCACCTGTGGCTGGCATTAGCTGGGGTCACTGACATGCAGTGAGGGGGTCCCTGGGGTGCAGCCCCTGCCCTTCTGGGGGTTCCCTTCCTCAGGGAGGGAGTTTCAGACGTGCTGCAGGGTAACCTGGGGGGCCGTGTCCGGGAGCTGCCGCAGCCCCTCTGGGCAGGCTGTGGGTGGGTGTTTGCCCTTTTCCATGGGCTCGTTAATGGGGGACGTTAATTGGGGTGAGCCCCAGAGCAGAGCTGGCACTCAGCTGCACTCACAGAGCCCCTCCAGCCCTCACCCACAGCCCCTGCATGTCGCTGGGCTCAGGCCAGGCTGGGCTCTCAGATACACCGTGCTGTGCTCAGCACAAGGAGCCTATCCCTTGCCCATGGGGTCCCTTCCCCACTCTTGGCAGCCCTCGTGTGTCCCCAGTGCCTGGGGGTCTGCCGGAGCTCCCCCCCAGCCCACACCTCCCCCCCGGCAGGGCGTGAAGGAGTTCAAGTGCGAGGTGTGCGGGCGGGAGTTCACCCTGCAGGCCAACATGAAGCGGCACATGCTGATCCACACCAGCGTCCGGCCCTACCAGTGCCACATTTGCTTCAAGACCTTCGTGCAGAAGCAGACGCTCAAGACCCACATGATCGTGCACTCTCCGGTGAAGCCGTTCAAGTGCAAGGTACCGGTGGGGCTGGGGGCTGGTGGGGCTGGGGATGTGAGAGCATGGGGGAGTGCACATTCTTACTGTGCTGTGCCCCCAGGAATCTGGCCAGGCTGAGCCCTTGGGCATGGAAGCAGCTTTGTGGTGCCTCCCCTGCTCACTTGGGCGTGCAATATCTGCTCGAGCTGTGACGGGAGCATTGCTGCTGCTGAATGACAACCAGTGCCTCTCTCTGGCCAGTACTGGATGTTCTGGAGCTCCCAGCAGCACCAACACCGCATCCCCAAGCCCCCCCACAGCACGGGGGGAGGGAGGGAGCCCCATTGCTGTTGGCGGGAGCCAGGAGGGACTCCAGGAGGGCAGCAGCCCCGTTACTCTTGTGGGAGCCCCAGGGCACCCCGGGGGCCAGGTCTGCACTGCAGAGCCTTGGCCAGCCCTGGCTGACCTGGGCTTGCTGCCCGCAGGTCTGTGGGAAGTCCTTCAACCGCATGTACAACCTGCTGGGGCACATGCACCTGCACGCCGGCAGCAAGCCCTTCAAGTGCCCCTACTGCTCCAGCAAGTTCAACCTGAAGGGCAACCTCAGCCGGCACATGAAGGTCAAGCACGGGGTGATGGACATCAGCCTGGACAGCCAAGGTGGGTCCCCGGGGTGGTGTCCTGAGTGCCCCGCCGCCCCGGGAGCTGGGCTGGGCCGCGCTGGCTGCGGCAGGCTCGCCTCTTCTCACCCAAAGGGTGCCCTCACATGCAGCCCAGATGGAGCGGGGCTGCGGCTCCCGGGGAGTTCTGGGCTCCAAACCCAGGGAGGGGGGAGCTGCTGGCCCCAGCCCTCCCCGCAGGTCCTTCACTGCGTGTCCCTGTGCTGACTCCTAGATGCCATGATGGAGCTGGCTGGGGCTGACCACACTGAGCTGGATGGCCAGCAGGAGATGGATGACTTCGAGGAGGAGAACTCTTACAGCTACGGGGCTGTGGGCAACCCCCCTGACGAGCACACGCTGGCTGAGCAGGCCATGAAGGAGATGGCCTACTACAACATGTTGTAGCCCAGGCGGGTGGGTCTGTGGGGGTTTGGTGGGGTTAAGAGGGGCTGCAGCACTCGGCCAGGCGCCCCAGAACTGGAGAGATGGCTTCCACTGGGCTTGGGGAACACAGGGATGTCCAGAAGACTTTTCTGGACCTGCCTTGGCTCTGTTGCTGCCCCCCTGCCCCTGCCTGCACCCTGCACCTGGTGACTTGAAGCTGCAGGCAGGGGAGGCATGACCCAGCAGATCACTGAATGAGTAAGGATGGAAGGGGCTGCTGTGGAGCAAGACGATGAGCATCACTAATTATTCTACCTCCTGGGTCCCCCCTCTCTGCACAGGGCTCCCCTGACGGGCAGAAGCCCCTGCCCGCATGAGGAGGTGGGTTTGCATTTCCCACTCACCCCAGGGCTCCCTGTGTCAGGCCCTGGGATGCAGAACAGAGTATTTTCGTAGCTCAGGGTGCAGTCAGCGCCCACAGCTCCGGGTCTGGAGCTGCAGCCAGCAGTGGATCCGGGGGAGGCAAACCCAGCCCAGCCCCAGCAAATGATGGTATTTTGAAAGTAATTTATTTTTTTCAGATGTGCCGCGTGGTTGGTTTTATCTTTTCACTGAGTTCAGTTCCCTTCAACCAATGTGCTTTGTAAACCCGTGTAAGCTGTGTGGTCTGTGTGGGGAGAGGGGTTCTGGGGGGCTGAGGGCCAGAGCGGGGTCCTGGGCAGAGCCCTCCTAAGGAACTGGGAACTGGCACCCCCTCCGTGCCCCCTGGCTCCTCTGGGGCTGGAGGAAAAGGCTCTCGCTGGGGCAGCCTCTGAGGTGGGGGTTTGCCTCCTCCGTGCCCAGGGATGTGCCAGGGAAGCAGCTGGGGCAGTGCCGAGTCTGGGACCACTCTTTGGGCTCTTCACTCTGCTGTGGGGCAAAGGACTCACAGCACCCACAGCACTGCCCCCCAGGAGTACCCAGAGCTGCGTGGGGTCCTGGCAGGCATCAGGACCTGGGGACCAGCCTGGGCACAGGGTCTGGACACCTGTGCTGACCCCACACACCCCCTACACTTTCTGTCAGTGGCTGAGCACCATCTGCCCCGTCCCCAGAAGCCCTGGGCTGGTTCTGGGTGTGCCTACTACCCTGCCAGCCTTGGGGCAGGATGGAGATGGCCACAGCCTTGGCCTGCCCGACCCTTCCTCAGCACGGCAGGGCTGGGGACCCCCGTATGCTCCCCTCAGGGCGATGCCAAAATGCTGGAGTGCACGGCCCCCCCAGGCTGGCAAGGCTGAGCTGAGGGCTCTGGCTGCCCCCCAGCCCGCAGTGTAAAGCTGTGCCAGGTGCTGTGCCGTGGCAGGGGCGGTATTTAATGGCACCACACGGGTATGGGGTACATGAATCAGGGACGGACAGACACACCCTCACACACCCCCCAACCCCTACACTCCCCTGCTACAAAGGCTTTAGAAACACCCCTAAGAAAACTTTAGAAAAATTATTCAGCTGTTCCTGAGCTGTCATGGGGAGCTGGGGAGGGCACTGGGACCTTCCCAGCCCCATCCATCCCAGAGATGGGGAGGCTGTCTTCTATTTCTTGCCCAGAGCCTTGTCCAGGTTGTTCTTGATGGCATCGAGGAAGTCGGTAGTGTTCACAAAGTGCTCATTCAGCTTCACACTGTGGAGACAGACAGGGATTGCTGGTGGTCTCTGCCTGCCTCCTCCCACAGACACCACTGGGTCCAGGCTGTGGCCCCTGCCCAACCGAATCAGTTGTGAATAGTCATCCCGACTCCCTGGGGAGTGTCCAGAGAGGCCACCATGCACAGCCAGCTCCTGGTCACTTTCCTACCCCTGAGGCTGCCCTGCAGGGCCAGCCCGTCCTTGTGGTCAGTATGCTGTTCTTGTGGCCACCCTACAGGGTCACCCCACCCACAGAGTCACCCGTGCAGCCACGCTGCCCTAGTGCCGGTGGCTGCCCCCCTGCTCTGCCCTGAGAGCCACCGTACTTGGCAAGGCCATGGATGCAGCCAGCAAGGTCCTTCGTCATGGTCCCGCTCTCCACTGTGTCCACACAAACCTTCTCCAGCGTCTGCGCAAACCTGGGGACAGGGGACAGGTTGGGGGACAGTCTGCATGGCTGGTGCCACGGGCCCTGCCACGACTGTGACCAGAGCAGCTGCTGGCAGGGACCTTCCCCGGGGCTCCCCACCCTCATCCTCACTTGATGAGGTCAGGGTTGCTGTCCAGCTTGCCGCGGTGCTCCAGGCCGCGTGTCCAGGCGAAGATGCTGGCGATGGGGTTGGTGCTGGTGGGTCGTCCCTGCGCAGAGAGAGCGGTCAGCTGCCTGCTGTGGACAGCACAGCACGCCGGGGCACCCTGGCACGGGCAGCTCACAGGCTCTGCCCACCTTCTGGTGCTCCCGGTAGTGGCGGGTGACAGTGCCATGGGCGGCCTCGGCCTCGATGGTCTTCCCATCCGGACACACCAGGACAGAGGTCATCAACCCCAGGGAGCCGAACCCTGCGGTGGGACAGGGGTCAGGACGGCTCCCAGGGGTGATGATGCAGAGGCCACCACACCCTACCCTGCTCCACCTTGGGCCAGGATGTCTGACTGCACATCCCCATCGTAGTTCTTGCAGGCCCAGACAAAGCCGCCGGAGGATTTCAGCATCTGGGCAACCATGTCGTCGATGAGCCGGTGCTCGTACCAGATCTTCAGCTTGTCAAACTCCGTCTTGTAGTGCCTGGGAGCCCAGGCCTGGGGTCAGCCATGCTCACCCCACGTGGGTCTCACTGCCAGCACCCCCAGGACAGACCAGATCCCTCCCAGGTCCATACTTATCAAAGATCTCCTGGAAGATGTCCTTGAAGCGCCCGTCATAGGCCTTGAGGATGGTGTTCTTAGTGCTCAGGTAGAGCGGCCACTTCTTCTGGATGGCGTACTGGAAGCAGCTGTGCGCAAAGCCAGAGATGGACTGCAAGGGAAGCACACGACCCTCGTGGGACCCTGTCTCTCAGCCTGGCACCTCGCCCAGGGTGGCAAGGCACATTGCCCTGCAGGGGCTCCCTGAGCCCCACCTCATCCATGTTGTACGTGCCCATGCTCACACCGTGTCCATGCTGTACATGCCCATGCCCACACCATGTCCATGTTGTACATGCCCATGCTCACACCGTGTCCATGCTGGACATGCCCATGCTCACACCGTGTCCATGTTGTACATGCCCATGCCCACACCGTGTCCATGCTGTACATGCCCATGCCCACACCGTGTCCATGCTGTAGGTGCCCATGCCCACCCCACGTACCTCGTCTGTGTTGTACATGCCCATGCCCACGCCGCCACCAGGGAAGTTGAACACCTCCCACTCCTTGGACCCGCTGCCGTCCTTTGGCGTGAAGACCAGCTTGAATGTCCCAGACTCGTTCACCACAAAGTCGGTGGCTTTGTACTGCGGGGGCCAGGCAGAGCGTCAGGCAGGGGCAGGGGCTGGGGCAGGGGCAGGGGCTGGGGCAGGGGCAGGGGCAGGGGCAGGGGCAGGGGCAGGGGCAGGGGCAGGGGCAGGGGCTGGGGCAGGGGCAGGGCTGGGGCAGGGGCTGGGGCAGGGGCTGGGGCAGGGGCAGGGGCAGGGGCAGCAGCTGGGGCAGCGGCTGGGGCAGGGACTGGCCAGCCCCACGCGACCGGCCCTGCGCTGGCTCACCTGGTCACCGTGGGCATGGCGGCCAATGGTGATGGGCTTGGTCCAGCCGGGCACCAGACGAGGAATGTTCTTGCAGATGATGGGCTCCCGGAACACCGTCCCCCCCAGGATGTTTCGGATGGTGCCGTTGGGGCTCTTCCACATCTTTTTCAGTTTGAACTCTGTGGGGCATGCAGATGGGACCCCTGAGCGACCCCCCCAGCCCCCCTGAAGCACATGGCTCCTGCCCAGCACCCAGCTCCACTGTGCCATGGGGTCCCCACAGCACCCCTGAGCCCCCAGGGTGGGAATGGGGGCACAGCACTGAGTATGGTGCAGCCCCGAACCCACCGGAAACCTGAGCTGGCAGTGGAAGGCACTGCTGACCCCAGGGGGCACAGACAGGAGGCTCAGCACCCCACGGAGCTGCCAGCACCCCCCAACAGCGATGGGAGCTCGGCCCCTTGCCCTGCCCACCTTCCACCCTGGCTTCATCAGGCGTGATGGTGGCACACTTGACAGCCACGCTGTACTTCTGGGTGGCCAGCGCTGAGTCAATGGTGACCTGGTCGTCCGTCTTGTCCCGATGTGGCAGCCCCAGGTCGAAGTATTTTAACTGGACATCCACGTTGGGCAGGATGAGCTGAGGGGCCAGAGAGTGTCAGAATGGGGGGACAGTGCGAGGTGCCTGGGGAGCAGCACCACGGCATGGCCAGCCCTGGCACCCATCCCGGCCCAGCCGGCTGCCAGCCCAAGATGGTTCCGTTGACCAGAATGATCCCCCTGCCTTGAACAGGCCTCCCTGTGTGAGACAGCTCCCGCTGTCCAGAACCACCTCACATAAAAGTCCTTCTGGTAGTTGTGCCGATTTTACGACCTGCTTCCTGCAAACAGAGGGACACAGGCAGGAGGGACAGACAGAGGGCAGCACAGGGATCTCCGGTTCCCCCTGCAACCCCCCAGCTCCCCTTCTGGCACACCCGCCCGTTCTTGGGGCAGGACCCCATCACCTTCTCCTTAATGAAGGCCCAGATGATCCGCGTCATCTCGTCCCCATCCATCTCCACCACCGGGTTTGCCACCTTGATCCGCCTGTCGGCATCTGGAGAGGTGGGGAGTGTTAGGGGTGCACCCCTGGTCCCACAGCTCCACACCCTTGTGTGGGTCCAGGGCATCCTGTCGGGACCACACAGCTCTGCCCAGTCAGGTGTGGGTGCCACCCTGGCTCAGGCACAGGCACAGGTCAGGGGCAAGCCCCGCTGGGGTCTGGGCCGGTTACTGGGGCCACCACTGCTGGAGTGGGGGTCAGAGTGCAAAGCCCAGCGCGTGAGGGCGACAGGGATAGGGACACATTCCTCCCAGAGTGGGATCCATGTGCAAGCCGGGCTCCAACGCCTCAGTGAGATCAAGAATGGGACCAGAACCAGGAGCAGGTGCAGTCCCCTGGGGCCAGACTCAGGCACAAACCGAGGTGCAAATCCCTCTGTGGATCCTGGACCAGGACTAAAGCCCTCTGGGTGCCAAACCTGTCTGTGAGTCAGGTTCTAAAACCACATGTGGTACCCAGAGCAGAGGTGACCCACCCTGAGTGGGACCTAAGCATTGACAGGCAACAAAACTCTGCTGTGTGGTACCAGGAGTGAACCCTCCTGGGGAGCAAAATCCCGCGTTGGCCCGGGATGGAGCGACCCCCCCGCCCGCCACCAGGCTCAGACCAGGTACGAGCTGGAGCACAAAACGCCACGTGGAACAGGGACCAAATTCCCCCGGGACCAAAGTCATCCGTGAAACCCCTCGTAGAACCGGGACCAAACCGCCCAGGCTACAAAACCCGGCGTAGGTCCGCAAAAGCCCGCGGACCGGCCGGTGAGTACGCGTGAGTCCGGATCCGATTTCAGACACCGCCCCCCAAAAGAATCCGAGCCGCCGCCCCCCCGTGGGTCTGGAGCGCTCCCCGCCCGTGGCGGGCGCGGCCCCGGGACGCCGCGGTGTCCCCCGCATCCCCCCGAGGGGTCCCCACTCACAGTGGCGGCGCTGCCCCGCGCCGGCGGCGGGCGGCGGGCGGCGGGGCAGGCGGCCGAGCGCCGGGGCAGCGCGGAGGTAACGGGCGGCCATGGCGTGGGCGGACACGGCGGGGCGGACACCGGGGCGCGGCTCTCTCCGCCCCGGGGCGGGACGGACCCGGCTCCCCTCGTGGGGCCCCGCGCGGGGTCCCGCGGTGGGGTCGGGGCTTTGCTGCAGCCCGCCCCAGTGCCGGAGCACAGCGTGGCCGCGATCCGCAGCACTCCCCGTTCCCACCCAGGGGATGTTGCATCCCTCGGTACGTCGGGGTTACGGATAAGCGGCCAAACCCCAGGTGGAATGGGGACAAAACACACGCGGGATCAGACCCGCCTGTAAAATGCCGCGTGGAATGGGCACCAGGCCCGATTTGGCCCAGGACCAAGTCTATCTGTAAAACCGTGTGTGGGATCTGGACCACCCCCCGTGGAATCTGACTCGGTTGCCAAACCCCACGGGGATCAGGGACCAAACTCCACCAGGACCTGATCCGGTTGTAAATCCCCTCGTGGAACAGGGAACAAAACCCCCTGGACCAGACCTAGCTGCAAAACTCTGCCTGGGATCAGGAATGAAACGAAACCTGGGGATCAGACACGGGTTTAAAATCCCTCGTGGAATTGCGAATGGCCCTGCCCCCCAGGACCAGACCGATTTGCAAAACCCTTCGTGGAACCGGCATCAGACATCCTCAGGACCAAAGCCAGCTGCAAAAACCCTCATGGAACTGGGACCAAACCCAGTGCAAAGTTCGGTGTGAAACTGGGGGTGTACGGTGGGGCTGGGGGCATGCAGACACAGCCTGACCCTACATGGAAGCCGGCGTCCCTGCTCAGGGCTGGCGCGTGACTCGGCAGCTGGATCCAGCAGGACAAGGGCAACTGCCACTGCTCCACCAGGGACCTTCACCTCGCCTGGCCCCGCGTGGGGAGGAGGAGGAGGAGGAGGACGATGACAACCACGACGATGACAATGAAAATACCGATGATGACAGGGGCGATGCACAGCAGGGGCACCCCAAGAAGGTGCATGGAGTGTACCAGGGTTGCCAGGAGGCTTGTCGGGCTGGGAATTTGTTGTCCTGCGGTCCCAGCCAAGCCGATGGCTTTTTTTAGCCACATGGAACGGGCAGAGCCTGCTCCAGGAGGAAAAACAGCCCTGGGAGCTGGCAGCCCCCGGCGGAGGGGCTGGGGGAGCTGCGGCAGTCCTTGACGTCGGCTGGCTTTAACATTAACCAGAGCAGGAGCGGGGGGGCCGGCAGCGCTCCGGTGTCCCTGCTCCCACCGCCCAGCCCGCGCTGCCAGCCTGCTGCCAGCAGCCCGCGGCCCCACGCCAGCCCTGCTCGGGGCTGCCTGGCCACTGCCCCCGCTGCCCCCCTGGCTGCCCTTGGCCTGGCCCCGCGGCTGGAGCCGCCCAGGGACCGCAGCGCCGGCAGGACGAGGTCAGGCCAGCGCCGGGGCAGTCCGTCCCCCCGCGAGGAAAGGGCGAGGGCGGCCGTGTGGCACAGGCCCAGGGAAGGCCCCAGACAAGGGCACCGCCCGTTCATCCCCGGCCGCAGCCCAGCCACCCTCCCTGCGGTGCCGCTCCAGTGTCCCGGCGTGGCCGCCCTGGGGACACGAGTGCTGGCAGGGCTGGCTGTGGGCTGGCACCTCAGGGGGTGACGGGTCCCACAGGTTTGTGACCCAGCCAGAGCATAAGAGGGACACGATCTGGGGCTCCGTGTGTTCCCCGCTGCCCACAGGTGCCCGTGTCTGCCCATGGAGGGGACACCGAGGGGCTGACAGGGCCTTGTTTCCTCGTGCTGCCCACAAATGCAAGAGCCCCCAGCACCGCCCAGAGCTGCTGGCCCGCAGGCTGGAGTGGGGGCTGTGTCCCGCCTTGGGCAACCATCCGACCTCCTGGGGCTGCCAGGGGACCCTGCTGGGACCCCTCTTGGGACTCCTGCCCAGCGCTGGCAGCGTTTCAGTGCCCGTATCCCAGAGCTCTGGGTGCTGCTCACACCCGGCTGCCAGCCACCAGCTCTGAGTGTGCCGCTGAGGGGACACCCATGGCCGCGGTATCCCTGAACCCCACAGAGCCACACGTCGCCGTGAGGTGCCCAGACCCGTGAATTACCCCAAACTCCCTGAGCTTGCTAGCACCGCAGGATCTCATAGTGATGCCTGAGGCCGTGTGCACAGGAATGAGGTATCTCCATAGCCACCCCTGCTACCAGGGACCCCCAGGAAGGGCCCCCAGTGGGTGCTGCCCCCCAAACCAGGCTCCGCAGCAGCCCCATGGTGCTGGAAGTCCCTCAGTGTGCTGGGGCTAAAACAGTTCTGGGCACATCATAGGACCCCTTTGGGGCCGGCGCCACCCCAGAAACGGCGGGGGGCAGAGCCAGGCCCCAGCCGCTCCCGGCCCAGAAGGGGGATGACTCCCGGGCCGGCAGCAGCCGCAGCCGCCCCCGGCCCTCGCTCCCCCGGGGCCCCGGCGCGGTGGCGGGGCCGGGCCGGGGAGGGGCGGGCCGGGCCTTTGTTGTTCTGCGGGCGGAGCCCCCCGGAGCCGCCCCCGCGCCGCCCCGCACCGCCGGGGGGACACCCGGAGCCGCCCCCGCGCCGCCCCGCGCCGCCGGGGGGGACACCCGGAGCCGCCCCCGCAGCCCGCGGCTCCCGCCGCGCCTCGGAGCCGCCGAGCGGGTGAGCACCGGGGGCACCGGGCGCGGGACGCGCGTGCACGGGGCGGCGGGGCCGCGCACGGGGGACCCGAGGGACGTGAGCCGGGGGGTGGGAGTGCACGGGAACGTGGGAGCGAGCGTGTGTGCTGAGTGTGTGTGTGTGTGTGTGTGTGCGCGTGTGTGCTGTGAGAGTGTGCGTGTGTGTGTCTGTGAGTGTGTGTGTGTGCCTGTGGGAGTGTGTGTGTGTGCCTGTGAGTGTGTGTGTGTGCCTGTGAGTGTGTGTGTGTGTGTGTGTGTGTGTGCTGTGAGAGTGTGCGTGTGTACCTGTGTGTGTGTGTGTGCCTGTGAGAGTGTGCATGTGTGCCTGTGAGAGTGTGTGTGTGCCTGTGAGAGTGTGTGTGAGTGACAATGTGTGAGTGACTGTGTGTGTGCATCACTGTGTGAGTGACAATGTGTGTGCATTGCTGTGTGATTGTGTGACAGTGTGTGCATCGCTCTGTGTGTGCATCACTGTGTGATTGTGTATGTGAGTGACAATGTGTGAGTGGCGCTGTGTGACTGTGTGAGTGACAGTGTGTGACAGTGCATGCATATCGCTGTGTGGCTGTGTGTGTGCACCTGGGTGTGTGTCTGTGATTCCGAGCCGGTGGGTGTGCCTGTGTGTGTGCACGTGCAAGTGTGCTTGTCAGTGTGTGTGTGTGTGTGTGTGTGTGTGTGTGTGTGTGTGTGTGTGTGTGCGGGCTGCGGGCACACCAGCGCCGTTCCCACAGCCGGTTCCCAGGCCGGTGTTTGCCGCCCGGGGCGTGAGCACCCCGTGACCTCTCTGCGTGTGTTTACATGTGCCGGGTGTGCGTACAGCGGGCCGAGGGTGCGGAGCTGCGCACACGGTGCTCGGGACGGGCGTCACAGGCTGCTCACGGGGAGGCATGTCGGTGCCCGCGCGTGCCCCACGTGTGTGATGTGCCCTGCACACCTGTGGGGTGCACACGTGCTGTGTGTCCCAGACGTGCGGCCACAGCATCTGAGGACCTGTTGGTGCCCAGGCAGCACCTGGTCTTGGGGTGCGGGGAGGGTCGGGGTCCCATGGGTTTTTGGGTCATCCCTTGGGCCCTAGTGCCTGCTCCAGCTGGGCCTGGGGTGGCTTAGGGGGCTGGCACCTCCTCTGACCCCAGGGAGCACCAGGGCAAGGGTAGCGAGGGTGCCACAGGACCAAGGGTACCATGGGGCTGAGGAGAGCAGTGCTGGTTGGGCTCAGGAGTCAGGACTGGCTGGGAAGGAGGCAGCCATCCCTGAGCCTGCACCCTCCATTCCTGCACTCCAGGGAGCTGACATGCCTGACGAGCCCACCACCTCGCTGTCCCCCAAGGGTGCTCGCTGGCTGGAGTTCCTGCTGGCTCTTCCCTGCCCTGTGCCAGGAGTGGGGACCCCATGCAGCATCCCGTGTATCCTGCAGCTCCCCAAGCAGGCAGTGAGGGGTGTGGGCAGTGCGGGGTGCGGGCAGTGTGGGCAGTGTGAGGTGTGGGATGTGGGCAGTGCGGGCAGTGCGGGGTGCAGGCAGTGCTGGCGTCGCAGGGGCCAGGTGGACTGTGGGGATACCGTGTTGTTCTCAGAACTGCCTCTGCCGTCTTGCAGGAGTGATGAGAGCAATGAGACAGGTGTATGTTGTGGGGTACCCAGTGCCCTGGGTGCAGGTGCCCCACAGCACTCTGCCAGGGCGCAGGGGATGCTGTGGGGCAGTGTGGGGCTGGCTCGCCCCAGCCAGGCTGTCCTGGCAGTAGGGTCTGAGCTCACGGTGGGCCAGAGGGGTAGAGGGGCAGCCCAGTGTGGCCCATGGGAGGCCCTTGGCTCAGGCAGGGTGTCACAGCCGGTGCAGGTGGGATGGGGGATGCCTGGGGCTGCGTGGGGAGCCCTGTCAGGCTGGAGGCTGCCCCAGCCCCTCGTCCTGCTTGCTGCCTCTCCCAGGAGGCTGTCAGGCCGCAGCAGAGCGCCCCAGCTGCGGCCGGGTATCCCCGCTGAGGGGGACCCGCGGCAGCGGCGCTGAGCAGCTGTGTAGCTGTGCAGGGCCCGCCGCGCACTGCAGGTGTGCATGCACGGCTGCTCACACACTGCGTGTGCGCGCAGAGCAGGGACTGCCGGCTGCTGTCTGGCAGCTCCCAGCAGCCAGCCGAGCCGGGGGCGTGCGTGGGAGCCCCGCGAGCGGGGAGAGCCCGCCGTGTGCGCTGTGTGCGAGCCGGGCGCAGGGCCCTGAGCAGGGCCATGCTGGGGCAGGCTGCGGAGCAAGGTGGGAGCTGGTGGGCAGCAGTGGCAGCAGCAGCGGGGCACACACAGCCTGTCCCACTCTCTGCAGGCAGCAGCAGTGCCCAGCTCCATCACCGCCTTCCCAGGCACCCACTGCCAGTGGGAACGGGTGGCGGGCGCTGGCGTGGGAATTCGGCGCAGAAACCACTGCTCCACCTGCCTGCTGACCCCAGGCCACAGGTTTTGGTGCTGCCCCAACACCCAGAGAGGTTTCCCCATTGCCGGCAGTGGGCAGGGAGGGTGGCACGGCTGCCGCACGGGTGCGTGCCAATGCCTGCAGCAGGGCGTGGGGCACGCACAGGCCTGCTCGAGTGCGGAGCGGGGCAGGGTGCTGCGGTGCCCCCGGCGCTGCCCCGCTGGCAGCTGTGTGGGCAGGACGGAGATAAATGGGAGTTCGGCGTAAACAGCCCTGGCTGCCAGCAGCGCTGGAGTGGTGCTTAAAGGCACAGGCTCTGGCCTGGTTCTGCTGCCTGCTCCTGCCCTCCCTCCCTGCCTGCTCTGCCCTCCTTTTCCTCCCTGCCTGCCCCTTCCCTTCCCTCCCGCTCCTGCCCTCTCTGCTCACCCCAGAGCAGCGGCCCTCCCCACAGGAACTCCCGTCCTCGCTGCATGCCATCACACCGGGCTGTTGACACAACCCTGCCACGGCCATGCACAGGTGACAGCCAGGTCCCTGGAGCCCCCCAAGGTGCCGTGAGGTGGCATGGGGCAGGGGGCCATGGCTGCAGGGTGAGTGCCTTCCCCCACCCCATTCAGGGTGACGTGCACGCCTGGGTGACGTTGAGCCCCGTCTGTCTATGCCACTTCCCGGGCAAAGGGTGCTGCTGATAAGGCTGGGGTGGAGCTGTGGGGCTGTCCCAGACCTGGGAAGGAACGTCAGGCCCCATCAGGAACAGCAGGACAGGAAGGGGGCAAAGTCGATCTGGGGCAGAGGGGCACCCCAGAGCCGCAGCCCCTGGACATCAGGTATGACCTGCGAGCGGGCACTGTCCAGCAGTGCCAAGCGGGCCGTGTGGGAGTGTGGGCACGGCTGTCTCAGGAGTGTGGGCACAGGCATCCACAGAGTGTGGATAGAGCTGTCCCGCGAGTGTTGGGAGCATTTCTCCTGGGCAGGGGGCTCCAAGTGGGTCCCACCACTGCGGTCCAGGGCTGGGACTGACCGAGGACACGGGAAGCTCTGCCCCACACCCACACTGGGAGGGCAGCGCGGGGTACCCTGGCCCCAGGAGTGCTGCCTGCTGCAGGGGAATGCCGGACCCCATCCCTCTGTCCCCCTGTCCCTGTTGCCGTGGCGATGTAAGGAGCTGTCATTAACAGTTGCGTGGGCGCTGCTGGCCGGGTGGGCAGTGCTCTGAGGGCTGTGGGGCTGTGAGCCCTCCCCACAGCCCAGCCAGGGACAGAGCCCCCCGAGGGCCAGGCAGAGGATCTTGCCCAGCACTACCTGCTCGGGGGCATGGCCACACTGGACCCCTGGGACGGGCACAGGGGCCGGCAGGGATGTGCCGCCTGTGCCTTTGGGGACACCGGTGCCGGCCAGGTCTGCCCGTGGTGGGGCTGGCTCAGGCTCAGGCACCCCGTGGTACCCCATGTCTCCCGAGGGAGGGCAGGGAGCGCTGGGCTCCGACCAGAGCCCCCAGCCCCGCAGTGTGGCCGTGGGGCACAGCTGAGGGGCAAGGGGGAGGCTCTGGCAGCGGCCCTGGGGCCGAGCTGTTCCCAGGGCAGCCGGGCACTCCCGGGACAGCTTTTCCGGGGACAGCGAGATACAGTCCCCGGCAGCCCCTGCTGCAGCACCCCCGGGATCCCGCGCCCACCGGATTTCCCTGCCGCGGGGTGGTTGCAGGGAGACCCCGGCTGCCGCTAGCGCCGGGGACAAAGCCCCGTTCCCTCCGGTCCGTGGCGGGCGCGGGGCGGGGGCTGGGGCCGGGTCCCGTGGGGGCGGTACGGACCGGGAACCGCCCGCCTCCTCTTCCGAGCGGCCACCCCGCCCGGGCACCGGCGGCGTGGGGGGCTGGAGCGGCTCGGTGCGGCCGGAGCGGCTGGCTGCGGCTCGGGGGCGCATCGGTAGGGCTCGGGCGGGGCCGGTTCGGTTCGGTCCGGCCGGGCGGGGCCCGCCCGTGGCTGCTACGGCCGGTGCCGAGCGGCGGGCGGGACGGCCCGGGGCGGAGCGGGGCGGGGGCCGGGCCGTGCCGTGCCGTGCCGAGCCGCTGAGCCCCTTCTCTCCCCGCAGGTCTCCAGCGCCCGGGCGCCTTCGCGGGCGCGGCGGAGCCCCGCGGCTCGGTCCGGGATGGCGGCGCGGCCGGTGCTGCCGGTCCTGGCGGCGCTGCTGCTCTCGGCGGCTCCGGAGCCGGTCCCGCGGGTCAGCCTGCCCTACGGTGAGTGTCCGCTGACCTGCGGTGGGTGAGGGTCCGCCGGCACCGGGGCAGGGAGTCAGCCCCCGCCGAGGGCTCCGGCTGGGGTCTCCCCGGGGCGGCGGAGGTCCCGCGTCCCCCGGGGCTCTGTTCGCCGCGTGGAAACGCCGTGTGACAGCCCCGCCGGCTCCCCAGGGCTCGGGGGGCCCTCCGTCAGCGGGACATGGGCGAGGGCCGGGGCAGACCCCGGGGTGCTGCGGGGTGTAGGGGCGCGCAGACCCGCACCGAGGGTGGGTGTGTCTGGGCACCCAGGGCCACCTGTGCGGGGCACTGGTGGTGGCCGTGCTCTGTACCAGATGGGACCGGCCGGGGGCCTCTGCCCGTGGGCCCCCTCCCTGCTCAGTATGTCCCTGCGTGGGGGACACGCCACAGCCCCTTTCTGTGCCGTGCTCTGCTCCGGACAGCTCTGAGCCCTCTGCAGGCACTTGTCAGCTGCGTGGCCCCAGAGTGCGGGGGGCTGCCCTGGGCAGGGGCCAGGGAAGGATATCCAGGAGGGTGCTAGGCCAGGCAGAGCTGTAACAAGTGGGGGGCCCGGTTGCAGCCCCCTCCTGCCCTGCAGAGCCCCCAGCAGCTGGCACAGGCTGGGCGAGCCGTGGGGCACGCTGCTTGGGCTGAGCCCTGGCAGCTGTGCCGTGTGGGGGAGCCACCCACGGCTGTGCTGCCAGGAGGTGGCTGGATCCAGCTGCTGCCGGCCAGCAAAGCCCATCCCGAACTGTGCTGGGAGGGTGCCGTGGTTTGGGCAGCGGCGAGCGCTCCCTGGCTCAGCGTGCTGCAGCTCACTGCTGTGGATGTGGCCCCACATGCTCCCATGACCGCTGGCCACGGCCGTGGTGGCTGCAGCAGATGTGGGACCTGCTGAGCTGGACAGGAGGCTGGGACCCAGTGAGACAACCAGCTCGGCATCATGCCATGCTGTGCTGTGCCGCGTTGAGCCACGCTGCCTGGCCCTGCCTGCACAGACCGGTTCTGCCCCGTGCCCTGCACACCTGTGGGAGCTGTGGGGCTGCAGCCACGGGCAGTGCTTGGGGATCCCAGCCTGGACCCCAGCGAGGCAGGAGGAGCTGGGCGGGAGCGTGGGCCAGTGGCCGGTGTGTGTCCGGTGTGTGTCCGGTGGTGGCTCCCATGGAGTGTGGCCACGTGGGGCTGCGGTTGGTGGGAGGGAGGAGCTGGGAGCTGCTCCCCTGGGAGCCCTGGATGTGCCTGCAGCAGGTTTGTCTGGAAGAAGCAGGTCTTGTCCTGACAGGTCCCTGGCAGCCACACCAGCAGCTAGCTCCCCATGTCGGCACAGCTCTGCAAGGCACAGGGGCCCCCTTGCCCCTCCGCTGCCGTGCCCACCACCGGCGGCATCACCCTGCCACGAGGGTGCAGGACCTCTCACAGGAGGGTGCCCTGGGGCATCAGCTTCCTCCTCTCTGCACCCCTGGGAGAGCTGGTCTGGTGCTGGGGCCAGCTGAGCCCCCCGGACTGGGGGAGATGCTGCCCCATCTACAAACACCTGGGGTTTGTGGCCCCACAGCTCCTCAATGCCTGACATTGGCTCCCACCAGGCAGGGCCTGGCAGGAGCCCTGGGGTTGTCCTGGCGGGACTCTGGAGCAGGCAGGGGGTGGGGGGAGGTCAGGGAGTCCCCAGAGTGTCAGGGGTCAGGGAGTTGGCAGCGTGAGTCAGCCCGACGTGTCCTGCTCACGCAGCCAGGCCCATCTGATTCAGAGCGGCGGTAGGAGAGGAAGGGCTTCCGGGGCCAGGCCACCCACGCGGGACAGGACGGGACGGGATGGGACAGGACGGGCGCTCCCTGACTCTGCATGGCCACTGGCCCGTGGCCGGCATGGGCTGAGCCCCGCGGGCCAGCGTGGGCAGCAGCGGGCTGAGCCCCGCACCCAGCACGGCAGCACGGGCTGAGCCCTGTGCCTGGCACAGGCTGAGCCCCTTGGGCTGGCCAGGAGGATACTCCCAGCACTCATCTCCCCCTGCCGTGAGGCTGGGGTCCCTGTGGCCGGGCTGGGCTGAGCCTCCCGTGCCGCAGGGCTGAGCTCTAGGGCTGGACGTGGCTGGGCAGTTGTCCCAGTGCTAGGCAGGGCTTTTGTGGCATCCTCAGGGCCAGGAGGCGGCTGTGCCTCGTGGTGGCCTCAGGCACTACCACGGCCCTACAGGGTTCACTGTGGTGTGTGGTGCCACGTGTGTCTGGCAGTGTGGGCAGAGCTGGATCTGGCCCTGGCTGCTCCGGGTGGGTGGCATGGCCGAGGTGCTGGGCAGAGGGGCCGGGAGCAGCCGTGGTGCAGGGTCCGGGGGTCGGGTGCCAGCACGAGGCTGATGCCTGTCACTCTTTGCCCCACAGACTCGGCCGAGAGAGTCGTGCGGCGCTTTGAGGCGCCTGGGGTGTCCAACTACACGGCCCTGCTGCTGAGCCCGGACGGTGGGACCCTCTACCTGGGGGCACGAGAGCTGCTCCTCACTCTCAACACCAGCAACTTTCAGCCCAGCTCCCCTGTTCATAGGGTGAGCCCAGGGATGGGCTGGGCAGCCCTTGGGGAGGGAGGGGGCACCCATCTAGCTGGAGTGCAGGGGATCCACTCCCCACCAGCGTTTTGAGCCTGTGTGAGCCATCGTGCATTGAGGAGCAACTGCCCCAGAGCAGGATGTTTGAGGTGGGGAGGATGTGGTTGCTATGAACAAGCCCAGGGAGGATGTGGGTGGACCAGCCAGGGATAGTGACTGTGCCTTCTCCACAGCTGCAGTGGAGTGCAGATGAGGAGAAGAAGAGGCAGTGTGTGTTCAAGGGCAAGGACCCCCAGGTGAGCCCCATTGCAAGTAGGCATCGGGGACAGTGGTGGGTGTGGGCAGGGTGGGTGTGGGTGAGACAGCTGAGCCAAGGACTGAGCTGGGTCCTCTGACCCCCACAGAGGGACTGTCACAACTACATCAAGCTGCTGCTGCAGCTGAACAGCACCCACCTGTACACCTGTGGGACCTGCGCCTTCAGCCCAGCCTGCGCCTACATCGTGAGTACGGGAACAGGGTCCCCTGCAGGTCCCCCCGTGCTGTCAGGGCCCTGCAGGGGGGTCCTCGGCGCTGGGACACGTGCTGCTGGCTCACAGCCTCATCCTGCTGCAGAATGTGCAGCACTTCAGCCTGGAGCGGGACGCGTCGGGGAAGGTGGTGTTGGAGGACGGGAAGGGACGCTGCCCCTTTGACCCTGAGTACCACTCCACAGCTGTGATGGTCGGTAAGGCACGACACCCCGGGACCCCCGCCCTTCCTCCCTGCGCTGCCTCTGGACCCTTGCCCTCGCTGAGCCACCCTGGAGCCCTCACCCTCCCTGCAGTGCCCTGGGACCTTTGCCCTCGTCCCCGTGCCTGCCCCTCCCTGCGTCTGCCCGGCCAAGCCGAGCCAAGGCCGGGCTATCAGAGCCCCAGCAGGACGCAGGGCCGTGCTGGCGGCGCGTGGCGGGTCCCAGCAGGAACGTGTCTTTGGCAGACGGCGAGCTCTACGCCGGGACTGTCAGCAACTTCCAGGGCAATGAGCCGACCATCTCCCGCAGCCAGGAGAGCCGCATCGCCCTCAAGACCGAGAACTCTCTCAACTGGCTGCAAGGTGAGCGCTGGGGCTGGCACGGCTGCTCGGGGTCCCTCTCCCCTGCAGCGTGGGAGGCAAGGGATGAGGCCAGCGGTGCTGAGGGTGCTCGTGCTCCCAGACCCGGTGTTCGTGGGCTCAGCCTACCTGCGGGAGAGCCTCCCTGCCGGCAATCCTGAGGGCGACGACGACAAGGTCTACTTCTTCTTCAGCGAGACCGGGAAGGAGTTTGACTATTTTGAGAACACCATCGTCTCCCGCATCGCCCGTGTCTGCAAGGTGGGCATACGGCAGCAGGGGCGTGTGGGGGCTGTGCCTGGGGTGTGACTCTCTGCTGGGCTGGGGGGGATGTGAGGCCATCCTGCATGTCTCCAGCCCTCGGTGCCCGAGCTCCGTTCAGTCAGCGCGTGGGCGCCCTGCGGCCGCAGCATCGCCCCCTGACCCGCTGTGCCACACAGGGGGACCAGGGCGGGGAGCGCGTGCTGCAGCGGCGCTGGACAACCTTCCTGAAGGCACAGCTGCTCTGCTCGCACCCTGAGGATGGGTTCCCCTTCAACGTGCTGCAGGACATCTTTGTGCTCACTCCGGGTGAGCTGCGCTGGAGGGAGACACTCTTCTATGGTGTCTTCACCTCGCAGTGGTGAGTGGTGGGGACCCGGGGCAGCACGGGAGGTTTGGCAGAACCAGGGCCTGATCTTGCCACGGGCTCTGCCTGTCCTCACCAGGAACAAGGGCGGACTGGGCAGCTCGGCCGTCTGCGCCTTCCCCATGCGCAGCGTGCAGCGCGCCTTCGGCGGGCTCTACAAGGAGGTGAACCGCGAAACGCAGCAGTGGTACACGGACACCAGCCCCGTGCCAGAGCCCCGGCCAGGCATGGTAGGCGGCCCCTTGGCACCCGCCCGAGCACAGGACGCAGCGCTGCCCCGGTGCTCTCCTGGTCCCAATGGCTGCCACAGCTGCCCAGTGGTACCCAGCCACTTCCCCAAACCTTCTGAGCCCCTTCCTTTCCCCACAGTGCATCACCAGCCACACACGGCACCTGAAGATCAATTCATCGCTGCAGATGCCAGATCGGGTGCTGAACTTTATCAAGGACCACTTCCTGATGGACAGCCCCGTGCGCAGCCAGCCGCTGCTGCTGCAGAGCCACCGGCGCTACCAGCAGATCGGCGTGCACCGCGCGCAGGGCCTGCATGGCACCTACGACGTCCTGTTCCTGGGCACGGGTGGGTGCAGGCGGGCCCTGGGGGCAGGGGGGGTGCCCTGCACCCCAGCCCTGTTCAGCACAGCCCCTCTGTTTGCAGACGACGGGCGACTGCACAAGGCTGTGCGGGTGAACCACGGCGTGCACATCATTGAGGAGATCCGCCTCTTCCCTGACGGGCAGCCCATCCTCCAGCTGCTGCTGGACCAGGAGCAGGCAGGAGCCAGGGCGAGGGGGGCACTGGGGGCTCAGCCTGCTTGGGGCTGGTCCTGTTTGTGGGCTTGGGGACAGGGTCCTGGGAAGGGAGGGGTGTGCAGGAGCCTGCCCCGCTGACCCCAGCGTGTCTCCTCCCGCAGGGCCTCGTCTACGCAGCCACCCACACAGCAGTGGCCCAGGTGCCCTTTGCCAACTGCAGCCTGTACCGCAGCTGTGGGGAGTGCGTGCTGTCACGGGACCCCTTCTGCGCCTGGAGCTGGGGTGCCTGCCGCAGGCTCACCCCACATCCCCCGGCACACCCACAGTAAGTGCTGCACCCTCTACCACCCCCCCCCGCCCCACGGCACCCCACTGCCCTGCCCTCACTCTGTTCCCAGGCTCTGGGCACAGGACATCGAGGGTGCTGACACGGAGCGGCTCTGCCAGCTGGCCAACACCTCCCAGCCCCGTCCCCGCATCCTGCTGGCCCCAGGTGAGCTCCCGCTGGTGCTGCCACATGAGCGCGTGTCTTGGGGCTCCCCTACATCCCAGACCCCTGCTCCACCATGCTCCATCAGCCCCCTGCCCACAGCTGGGGTCCCCTCGCTGATGTCCCCTTGGGTTCTCTCCGCAGCCTCAGACGCCCCGTGCCAGCAGATCCAGCTACCTCCCAACGCCGTGCGGCCGCTGCCGTGCCAGCTGCTCTCCAACCTGGCCTCGCGGCGCTGGCTGCACAACGGGGCACCTGTCAACGCCTCCTACCTGGTGCTGCCCGACGGGGCCCTCATTCTGGTGGGCAGCCCCGAGCGTGCGGGCACCTACGAGTGCTGGTCGCTGGAGGAGGGGTTCCGCAAGCTGATGGCCAGCTACTGCGTGGGCGTGGAAGAGCCGGCCCTCGGGCCAGCAAACTCTGGCAGGAAGGTGGCTGCCGGCCGTGACGCCCTGGAGACCGTCAGCACATCCCGGAGCACCTCGGCGGTGGGCAGTGCTGCGGCTCGCCTGGACGGCAAGACCTACTGGACCGAGTTCCTGGTGATGTGTGTGCTCTTTGCTGCTGCCGTCCTCGTGCTGGCCTTCTTTGTCCTGCAGCGGCACCGTGACGGCATGAAGGCCTTGCTGGAGCCCGGCGACCCCAGCAGGCACCAGAAGCCGCCCCGCAAGCCGGTGGAGAGCCTGCCCCTGAATGGCAGCAGCCTGCCCAGCACGGCTCCTGAGCACAAGGGCTACCAGGCCCTGCAGGACAACTACATCGTCAGTACCCCTGTGCATGAGCCCCCAGGGCCCCCACGCACCTTCTCTGAGTCGGAGAAGAGGCCTCTCCACGTCCGTGACAGCTTCGTGGAGGTGTCTCCTGCCTGCCAAAGACCCCGGGTGCGCCTGGGCTCCGAGATCCAGGACTCGGTGGTGTGAGCGGGACGAGAGCTGAGCCCTCACTCACAACTGCCTGTGCTCTGCTGAGCCTCGCCGGACCATGCACCGCTGCCAGGGTCCATGTTGTCTGTGTGTGCATGCCCAGAGCCTGGCACCCACCGTCTGCGGCAGCACCCACCAGCCAGCGGGGTCTAGACCCCGGCGGGCTCCCTGGGCATCACCTCGGTACTCACGGGTGTGAGGGGTGCCTCACGCCTTCCAGGGACCTGCAGGACGGTTCCAGCCCAGCGTCCCTGCTGCAGGGACAGACACGGTTCCTGGCTCAGGCTGCTGGTGCGGGCTCTGCCAGGCCCTGAGCCCCTCTATGCAGAGGGCAGGAGGGGGCAGCCGCAGACCCCTCGTGCCCCAACTCACTGTGACGTCCCGCTGGGGACCCAGGGCCACGCGCGGCTGGGCAGGGCCAGCCCCGCGGCATGTGCTGTGTGTCTGTGCTTGGTTCGTTTTTAGTATGTGGAAAATGTGAATTGTGTCCGGGGAAGGGGAGCTGGGAACAGCTTCCCCTGCGCTGGGTGGGCAGGGAAGCCCCCACGGCCCCATGTGCGTGTGCGGAAACGTCTTTTGTTTTTATATAAAGTCCTTCAGACACGTCTGTGCAGCAGGGCTGTGTGCCTTCCTGGGCCAGAACCATCCCAGCGGGCCCCACGGAGAGCAGCCACGTCTGGCTCTCGCTGCAGGCAGGGGGAGATTCTGCCCGTGGCTTCAGAGGGGCCCGAGGACTGTGCTGGCCGTCAGCTCTGTGGAGTCCCCTCCGCGTGTGCCTGGCTGAGCACTGGGCCAGGGCACGCGGGGCCCTGCAGGGACAGCGCAGGGACAGTGGCTGTGTCCCTGTGACCTACTGGCAGCCCTGGGCTGTCCTGGGGCCATGCCTGGAGGCCCGTGGCAGTGTGGTGCAGGCAGAGCAGGGAGGCCCTGTGGTGGGGGAGCGCAGAGTGATGGGGTAATGCCATCCTGGCACCATGTGAAACAGGAGGAGGTGACCAGGAATAGGACAATTTGGTGCCTGGGGCTGGGAGGATGGCAGCCCCCAGCAGGAGAGAGGCTGTGATCGCCCCATTCCCAGGACTGCAGTGTTGTGCTGCATGTGGGACCCACTGCCCACGCAGGGAGCATCTGATCCTTGTGCCCATCCCACCCTGCTGTGGACACTTTGCCACCTGTGGAGGCTGAGGGCAAGGCCTGGGATTGCAGCCAGTGCTGCTTTTGAGCTCTCACACAACCGGGAAGCAGCAGCAGTGCCAGCACAGGGCTGGGGGAAGTGGTGAACTCTGCAGAGATGGCGTGTCCAGGCAGGATTCCCCCGAGGGACCAGCACTGCCTTGCTCCCAGCTGGACCCATGCACTGAACTTCCTGCACAGCCTGTTCTGGGACATCAAAAAAGCCACTGGAGGTGTTGGTTGGTGAGCTGCCAACAGACACAGCCCTGGGGCTGTAGGGGCACAGGCCTCGGCGGGCAGATACTGTCAGCACCGTGGGGCAGCGAGCTGGAAGGGCTGGCAGCGCCAGGAGCAGGAGCCACTGTGTGAGAAACAGCCACGGCAGAGCCCTGAGAGCCATCAGCTGCTTTGCCCCAGCACGGGGGCTCTGCGGGGTCCCGGCAGGACCACTGGCTGCAGGCCGGGACAAAGGGGATCCTGAGCGGGGCCAAAGGACCCTGCTGCTGCTGCTGCTGCCCACAGCGATGGTGCTGCTGGCTGCCCAGGGCTCCCCTCACTGCTTCCAGCCTGAGCACTGGGCTCTTTGTGCTGCCCAGGATGGAGGAGGGAGGGAAGGAGGTGGCCACGGAAAGGGCTGAGTGGAGCAGGACATGGAACCCATCCCCTGGAGTGGCGGCTGGCGCGCAGGCAGAGGCCTGGCAGGAGCCCATGTCCCCAACACCCTGGTGGCACCCGTCCCACAGCTGGACAAAGGCAGCAAAGAGCAAGGGTGAAACCGGAGCCCTTTAATTGTGTCCTCACAGGGAATGGGGGAGGAAGAGGCCAGGGCGGCAGAGCAGCTGCTGTGCTGGAGCCAGAAGAGGGCAAAGACAGAAAGGAGGGAGGAGGAGGAGGAGGAGGAGGAGGAGGAGTGCAGGCTCTGAGCACAGCCGTGGGGGGACAGCTCTGCTGGGGGGTGGCACCTGTTCAGTGACTCCTGGGTGACTGCTCAGAGAAAGAATTCCTGTTTGGGTTATTGCTTGTAAAAATTGATCCGCTTTTTGGTTATTGCTCAGAGGATCCGCATTCAGTTATTGCTTAGAGAAATGGATCCATGTGGCAGCAGGCAGGCTCCCAGAAATACAGGAGAGGCAGGAAGACCCTGGCAGGGGAGGCAGCTCCCTGCCTGCTGCTGGAAGGCACAAAGTAGGAATTTGTCCTGAGGGCACAGAGGGGCTGTGCTGGTGCAGAGTGGCCCCAGGCAGGAGCAGCTCTTCCTCCCTCACCTGCAGAGCTGCCCTTGGAATGCATAAGGATTTAAATTCTATTGCTAGGACAGCAGAGGTGCTGCAGGAGAGGCAGATTCCTGGCACCCCCTGCTGCCAAGCAGGCACCTGAGAGGGAAGCTGGAGGGTTCCTGCCTGAGGCATTGCAGCACAGCCAGGCCATTGAGGGGCTGGGCCTGTGCTCCCTGAAAGAGGAAATGACTGAGCCCACAAAGAGCTGCAGGAACTGGAGGAGTGCTGCAGGAGCTGGAGGAGTGCTGCTGGACCGCCACAGGGCTCACAGGACAATCTTGAAGGAGCTGCAAGAGATATGACAGGATCCACACCTGCTTGCTAGGTCACACAAAAAGCTGACAAGCACCCAGTGCTGCAGGGACCAGAATCCCTCTGCAGAGCCAGCCTGGGATGCAGAGCCCTCTGCCATTCTGGCAGACTTGGCACAGGGCAGCCCTGCTCTCCTGCCACCGCGAGCTCTGCCCCAGTGCCAGCTGAGCAATCGGGGTGATCGCTGCCCCCCAGCCAGCCCCTGGAGACCACCGCACCTGGCAAAGTCCGGGGAGCGGGAGACAACGTGCTGGAACTCGGAGAGGTTGATGGTGCCGTCCTTGTCGATGTCGGACTCCTCCAGGATCTGCGGGGGAAGGTGAGCGCTGAGCCCTGTGCCTGGGGCTGTGCCCATGCCCTGGCCAGCGGGCCTCACATTTTGGATGAGCTGCTCCATCTCTGCGCTGCTCAGCTGGGACTCCTCGCCTTGCCCTGTCAGGCAGTTCACCAGTTGCTCCAGATCCTTCCTGTCCAGAATCCCATCGTTGTCAAAGTCTGTGGGGAGAAACAAGGTAGGTTCTGGCAGGGCCGCAGTGACCCCAGGGAGTCACAGACACTGGTACTGCAGCACTCCATGCACCTCACCATGCCAAACCAGCTGTTCCACTGGGAGTTCTAAAGCCACCATCCCCGTGGGTGCTCCCAGGGCCCTGCCAGCCCTTCTGAACATCAGCTCATCACCCTGCTCCCACTTCCTCAAGGTGCAGGGATCCCAGAACACAGCACCTCTCCCCAGCCTTACCAAAGATGCGGAAGGCATAGTGGGATTTGATGTCAGAGGTGGCAGAATCGCTGAAGACACTCAGCATATCAAGAAAGTCTTCAAACGACATGCTGTCATCCCCGCTCTCTGAGGTTGAGAACACGTGGCAGATCTGGTGCTGGAAGGGGTTTGCCTGTAGACACAGGAACGGCTCAGGCAGGGCTGGGCCGTGCTGGCTCCATCAGGCACCCTTTGGCTGCTGCTCCAGCAGGTGAGCAGGTGCCCGGCTCTGCCACTGCTCCATCACCCATGGCACGGTCAAACCTGTCCTGTGCACCTTCTGGGATGCAGCCCCATGCAGCAGGGATAGACAGGGTCCCTTGTGGCACAGGAGGAACCCCCAGGATCCTGCACAGCAGGGATCCCCCGTTGCACAGCAGGGAGCCCTGGGACTCTCAGTTGCTCGGTGAGGACAAGGAAGCTCTTTAATGGCACAGCGAGGCCGTGCTGGGTGCACGGAGCCCTAACCCCGGAGCAGCAGTGTCCCGTGTCTGCCGGGCACCATACCCGCAGCTCGGGCAGCGTCAGGATCTGGCTCTTGGGAACCCGCGCGGAGCAGGCGTTCTCCCTCTCCTCCTTCGGCAGCAGCTCACTGAACCTCTTGTAGGCACTTTAGGAGGCAAGAAAAGGAGCGGCTCTGTGGTGCGAGAGGGGTGGCCGCAGCCCGTCCGGCACCGGCAGCACCCCAGGGCGCGGTGGCCACATCCCACCGCTCCTGCCGGCTCTGCCGGGCCGGGGTCCCGCAGCCGCTCCCGGGGCCAGGCAGAGGAGCCGCTCCGCTGCTGCCCACCCCGGCTCGGGGGCTCCCGACCAGCTCGGGCCGGCCCCAGCCGCTGCCCCGCTGGGCAGGGCGTCACCGGCAGCACCGCGGACCTTCGCCCGACCACAGCCGCTCCTAGGGAGTGCCACCGGCACCTCCCGGCTCAGCTGGCCTCTCGGCGGAACGGGAGCCCCGGGGCAGGGCCGCAGCTCCCCGTGCCCCGCGGCAGAGGCTGAACCCCGCGGGACCGGGCTGGCACGGGGGGCACTTACGGTACTGCGGTACTTACAGCAAGATCTCCTGCTTGCTCAGGAACGTCAGCTCCTGCGGGGACAGCACGGGTCGGCACCGGCACCGGGGCCGAGGCCTGAGCCAGGGCACAGCAGCCATGGGCTCCTGGCCTCTGGGCACCTCCCGGGACCCTCCGCCCCGGTGCCGGTGCCGGTACCTGGTACTCGCTCAGCAAGTCCCGCGGGATCAGGCTGGCCGAGCCGCCCATGGCGCCGCTTCCCTCCGCACGTCACCGCCCGCTGCCGCGGCAACGGCACCGGCCCGCCCCGGGCGGGGCAAGCGCGGCTCCGGGGCGGCCGGCCCCGCCCGCCCGGGCACACGGCCGGCTCCCGGCGCCGGCAGCGCGGAGATGGCGGCTATGGCGGCAGCGGAGCCGAACCCCGAGGAGTTCGTGTACGGCGAGGAGGACTTCGTGCTGCAGGCGGCCGGCTGGGACGACCCGGACTCCGCGCCCTCCCGGTTCGACCGGGTGCTGCTGGCGGGCTGGAGCGACCGTATGGAGCGGGGACTGTTCCGGTACCGGCTGGGACCGCTGCCCACCCGCGTCCTGCCCGGCGCCGTGCGCCTCGTGGCGCAGCTGAACGAGAAGCGCAGCGCGGAGCGCCGCCCGCCGCAGCCCGTCCGCAGCCTCCGGGATCCCTTCGACCCCGGCGCCTTCAACTTCACCCGGCTGCGCCCCGCCGAGCTGCTGTTCCGCCTGCGCCGCAGCGGGGGCCCGGGGCCGCCCCCCGAGCCGCTGCTGGTGGCCATCAACGCCAGCCCGCTGGAGCGGGGGCACGTCCTGCTGCTGCCGGAGCCGGCGCGGCGGCTGCCGCAGGCGCTGACGGCCCCGGCGCTGCGCGGGGCGCTGGAGGCGGCGCTGCTCAGCGCCCACCCCGGCTTCCGCGTGGGCTTCAACGGGCTGGGCGGCGGCGCCTCGGTCAACCACCTGCATCTGCACGGGCTCTACCTGGCCCGCCCGCTGCCGCTGGAGGAGGCGCCGGCCGAGCCGCTGGGGCCGCGCCTGGGGCTGCTCCGCGCCGGACCGGCCCCCGCCTTCCTCTTCTTCGCCCCCGGCCCCGCGGCGCTGGAGCCGGTGTCGCGGGCCGTGTGCCGGGCGGCGGAGCACCTGGGCCGTGCCGGGCTGGCCTGCAACGTGCTGGCCACGCGGGGCGACCCGCCGGCGGGGCCCGGGGCCGGCGGCGGCCGCGGGCTGCGGGTGCTGCTGTGGGCGCGCCGGCCCCTCTTCGGCCCCAAGGCGGGCGAGCCCTTCGCCGTGGCGCTGTGCGAGCTGGCGGGGCTGCTGCCGCTGCCCGCCGAACCGCTCTACCGGGACATCACCGAGGTGCAGGCCCTGAGCGCCATCCGCCAGCACCTGCTGCCCGAGCCCGAGCTGCTGCACCTGGGCGGGGAGCTGGCGCGGCTGCTGGAGCGCTGAACCGGTGGCACGGGCAGCGGCCGGGACACTGAACCGGTGGCACGGACAGCGGCGGGGATACTGAACCGGTCGCACGGACACCGGCCGGGACACTGAACCGGCGGCACGGACACCGGCCGGGGCGCTGATGACACGGACACCGGCCGGGGCGCTGAGCCGGTGGCACGGACAGGGCCGGGCCGCTGCAGAGCTGGCCCGGGACCGGCAGGGGGCGCTGCTGGCGGAGGACGCGGAAGTGGCTGTGGCGGGGCCGCTCCGCCCGCGGGGCCCGCGACTCGCTGGTGCGGTCGCCATGGGAACGCGGCGGAACCGGGAGCGGAGCGATGGCGGCGGCGGGCGGCGGCGGGAGCACGGGCCCGGGCCCATCCCCGGGAACCCCTCCGGGCGAGGAGGAGGCCAGCGACGCTGCCCCCCCGGACCGTCCCGCTGCCCCCGCCGCACCCGAGCCGCGGAGGAAGCGCAGGCGAGTGCGGGCCCGCGGCCCCGGCAGGGTCCAGCCGGAGTCCGGCCCTCCCCAGCCCCCGAGAGCCGGTCCCAAAATAAATAGTGTTCCCTGGAAGTGCCCCAGCCACCCCCTGTGTGACACAGGCAGGCACATTCCGTGCCCAGAACCAGCCTGCCCGTGCCCTTAGGGCTGTACCGGGCCGGGGCTGGCTCGGTCAGACTGCCCGGGGTGCTCTGTGTGTGGGGGGATCGGGCTGTGTCCCCACTCTGTCCCCTGCCCGGTGCCTCGCTGAGCTGCTGTCATGTCGTCTCTATTCCAGTGTCCCCTCCATCAACCTGAGCGGCTGCAAGTACGAGAGTGGTAAGTCAGAGGTTCTCCAGGTGCCTGCCCAGCCAGGAGCGGTGCTGGCACCCACTTCCCACTGGTTTATTTACTGCTGCCAGCGACTGGCACAGGACTCTTGTGCTAGTGGAGAGTTTGTCACACTTTGGACTGAGATTTCCCCCGATTTAAAAATGTGCAACAGCAGTGTGAGCCCTCACTTGTGTTTGGATATGCCCCACACTTGTGTTTGCCAGCTGTCTGCTAAAATGGGCAAGAAGGGTTTCATCAGGTACAGGGCAAGGGAGCACCTGGACTTGGAGAAAGGGCCTGAGGGTTGCCAGCTGTTGAAGGTAAAGCTGGTGGTGAGTAGGCAGGATCTGTACCTGGAACCTCTCCCTGTGCTGTTCATCCTTGGTGACTCCAGGGAACTGGTGGACTCTCCCCTCCCATTCTCCTTCCACAAGCTGGATCTTGAAAGAACAAACTCCTGGCCCTTGAGGGGTGTTATTACTTTGCTAAGGGATCTTGGTATGCGTGGATCCCCATCAGCCCTGCCAAATTCGTACTTGGCACGATGAACCATGCCAGCAGAGACCTTTTTCTGCAGAGCTGTGTTCTGCTGAAAGACCTTTGATTTGGGAGATTAAATTCACACCTTCACAAGACTTGTATCTGCCTGTGAGGTGTAAGACACGTGGGAAGTTCAATCCTGCTGTTGAGGGGCCCTGGCACCTCAAGACAGGTGGGATTAGAGGCTTAAGAGTTCCCAGAACACTTGCAGCCAGAGGCATGGGGGTTTGGCCAGATAAAACTGGTGTTCCTGACATGTTCCAAGGGGTCATGCCAACACTTTATACCTCTGAGAGGGGAGCTGCAGCCTGAGGAGCTGCATACTCCATCCCGTGTTATTCTGGGGGGGTGCCAGCCCCTGTATGTGGCTCCTCAGCCAGAGGTTTGTTTCACATTCCATCCCTGGTTACTCTGGGGTTTATCAGTCCCTGAGCGTGGCTGCCCTGTCACTGCTTGCCTTGGCACAGTGCGGCGGGCGGCGCAGCACTGCGGGCTGAAGGAAGCGGCAGAGAACGAGGAGTGGACGGTGTGCTGGACGGACAGCACGGTCGCCTTGGAGCGCCTCATGGAAATGAAGCGCTTCCAGGTAAACCAAACAGCAGCCCAGCAGGAACTGCTGGGGAGGGAGGGTGACACACAGCTTCTGCTGTGAACAGAAGCACCCAAAGCAGCGCCCTGTGCCATCTGTGCCTCGGCTCCAGGGCGCAGGTCAGACGCCTTTGCTGGTGCGTGTCCCTGGCTGGTGTTGCCAGCAGCATTCAGCAGCTGTGGCGGGAGCAGCAGCGTTCCAGCCCTGTGTTGTGCTGTGAACTAAACAGCTCTTATGCTGCTCCAGGGCTAAGATGGAATAGGCAGATAAATCAGTAGTGAAGCTGGGATAAAACAGCTGTAGCAAGTCTCATCCCCCAGCAGTAGTTCAAGGCAGCCGCAGGCCTGGCTTTCCTCTCACTGCTGGTTCTCCATGCACAGGCTCTCCTCGGGGCCAGGAGAACCCATCCCCACAGGGCTCTGCTGATCGGGGTTTTTCTGCACTCCTTTCAGAAGATCAACCACTTCCCAGGCATGATCGAGCTGTGCCGCAAGGACCTGCTGGCTCGCAACCTGAACCGCATGCTCCGGCTCTTCCCCAAGGAGTACAACATCTTCCCCCGCACGTGGTGCCTGCCAGCCGAGTGAGTCGCTGGGGATGGGGTGACACAGGCAGGGAGGCTGCTGGCCTGAGCCCAAACCTTCACTTGCTGTGACACGCACCACAGTGACCTCTCCTGCACACCTGCCACTACAGGTGGAGATGTGTGCAGGGGAAAGGAGGGATGTGGGGGCTGGGTCAGGTCACACAGGGACCAGTGTGTGACTCCTGTAGATTAGAAATTAGGAGTTGGATTCATCCCCTGCAGAAGTTCAGTGTGTGCTGGCCTGCAGCACCATGGTTTCAGTACCCAGCTGTTTGTTAGGAGAGAGTTCAGAGGGGTGTTTTTTGCAGCTGATGATAGTCACCCTTCCCTTGCACAGCTACGGAGATTTCCATGCCTATAGATCCATGAGGAAAGCAAGAACATTCATCTGCAAGCCTGACAACAGCTGCCAGGGAAGAGGGATCTTCATAACCCACCACCCAGAGGAGATCAAGCATGGGGAACGCATGATCTGTCAGCTGTACATCTCTGAGGTACTGGGATGCTCCAGAACATCGGGGTAGGGTTCCAGCCTCCCACTCTGCCAGCATCCCCCAGGCTCCTGGGTCTCCTCAGGTCTGCTGGAGGTGTTGGTGTGGCTGCGGTGCATCGGGGACACGGACAAAGCTTGTCCCTCTGCTGAGCAGCACGGGCAGACGGAGCAGTTCCTCACCTCACCCTTGCTCCTGCCTCTTTCCTCACAGCCCTTCCTCATCGATGGCTTCAAGTTTGACATGCGCATCTACGTGCTGGTCACATCCTGTGACCCACTGAAGATTTTTCTCTACAAGGAGGGCCTGGCCCGGTTTGCCACCAAGAGGTACATCGATCACAGCACAAGAAACCTGGTAAAGAGGAAGTTTTTAAAAAACTCATATAGTATCTGTAGGTGTCAGTGCTTAACTTGTCCTGGGGCACTCCAGGCCTTGAAAAGGAGGGTATTGGGGGTTGCAGGAGTCCCAGCTCGATGCTTTCCTGTTCTTCCTCTATACCCCTTCCTCCTCCTCACAGGAGGTGTTTCAGGAGGGATAGTTCATCTACCCCAAGGCCCCACATTTGGGCTGTTTACTGGCATTACTGGAATAATGGAATTGTTTGCTTGGATGGAATTTTGGAAGGTCTCCAACCTTATCCTGAAAACTTGGTCAACAATAAAGTCATATCTGGTTTTTCAGGGTCTCATCTGATCAGGTTTTGAAAACCTACAGAGTGAAGCCCCCCTGGTGTCTCTGGGCAGCATGTTCTGCTTCTGGCCCTGATAAGAATGCTCAATTCCACACCATTCCTACTCTGCCCATGCTTCAGGCAGAAAAGAACATGGGAGTACCTGGTGGGGCTGTTCCTGTTCTTGCTCAGTGGTTCAGAGTGAACAAACATCTCTTGTGGTTCCCTGCCAGGGTGACATCTGCATGCACCTGACCAATTATGCAATCAACAAACACAATGAGAACTTTGTCCAGGACGACATGGTGGGCAGCAAGAGGTACTGGTGTGTCCGAGCCCTGCAGGAACACTGCCTGGGGACGCTGGTTTACCTCAGCTTTCCTACACAGCTGAGCCCTTACCACCTCCTGTTCCCACACAGGAAGCTGTCCACCCTGAATGCCTGGATGGCAGAGCACAGCTATGACACATCAAAGCTCTGGGCAGATATTGATGACATTGTTATAAAGACACTGATTTCAGCTCACCCTGTGCTGAAACACCATTACCAGAGCTGCTTCTCCAGCCACACTACTGGCTGCGCCTGCTTTGAAATCCTGGGCTTTGACATTTTGCTCGATAGAAGGCTGAAGCCATGGCTGCTGGAGGTGAGGAAGGAGTGGAGAGTTCAGGGCTGGGGGACTAGGACAGGAGGTTTGGGATGAACAGGGCCTGTTTGATTCAAAAGGGCCACCTTGCTCACAGAATTAACCATGCTCTGAAGCCAAACAACCTGCTGTGAGCAGGATCCAAGAGAACCCATTACCTGCACACCATTTAACATCAGGGAGTTTCCCAAGCTTTCAGGTCCCTTGTCCTGTGAGCACTCTGAATTTGTGACAGCTGCCCCTTGCCTGCACCCTGTGGGGTGGCCTGTGGCACAGGTGGGCAGCACACTGCAGGAGTGCTGTGTGTGGCTGCCTGTGTCTGACAGGGAGCAGTGTGGGGCGTGGCTGGGGCCATGGTAGGAGCTGGGGTGCCAGGTTAGATTACCTGCTTGTCTTGGCAGGTGAACCACTCTCCCAGCTTCAACACAGATTCTCAGCTAGACCATGAGGTGAAGGATGCCCTTCTGTGTGACACCTTCAACCTGATCAATGTGCACGCCTGTAATAGAAAGAAGGTGCTAGAGGAAGACAAGCGGCGGGTAAAGGAACGGCTCCTCCAGGCCAACCAGACTCCCCGGGAGTCCAGGTATCGCTGTTCCCCCACAGTGCTCAGGTCCCCAGTGAGCAAAGCCAGGGCATGACAGAGCAGGGTAACACCAGTGCTGCCTGCTGGAAGTTCCCAGAGCCTATGGCATTGTGCAGCCTCTGTGCTCTCCCAAGCCATCTGCATCCTGCAAGGAGGAGCCAGGGCTCCTCTCTGGGTGCCAGGAGAGCTGTGACACCTTGTGCTCTGGGCCCTGACAGAGCTCTCTCCAAGCTGCACCTGCTTGTCATTCATTTGCTGGGGATGGGCAGTGCCAGCATCCCGGGCTGGCAGGGATGCTCACGTGAGGAACCACAGCCCTGCCTCAGGCACTGGGGGTAGCCTGGGCATGGGCCGTTCTCCAGGGCAGGGGTCCTTTCCAGGGCTGAGGTTTCCCGTTCTTCTGTCTGCCCTATGTCTTCACAAGCCCGTGTTCAGTGAGCCTACTGCCTTGCAGGCAGGGCGTGGCTCTCTCCAGCTGCTGTTTTCATCAGGAGTCCTGGGATAATCCTGGGACGTGCTGAGCAGGTCAGCCCTGCGCTCTGCCTGTCCCAGAGCCTCCCCCCGCAGGTCCCTGTCCTCCCTCCTGTCCTCCCTCCTGCTGCAGGCGCAGGGAGCAGGAGAACAGCCAGGCTGCCTGGCTGGCACAGGCTGAGACCTACGAGAACAAGCACCTGGGAGGGTTCCGACGCATCTACCCAGCACCTGGGACAGAGAAGTACGAACCATTCTTCCAGCAGAGCAGGTCCCTCTTCCAGGAAACAGCAGCATCCAAGGCAAGAGAAGAGTATGCCAGGTATGCTGCTCCTGGGGAAACCCACTTCTCACAGGTGGCATGGAAACCACTTGCTCCTGATCCCTCCTGGGGAGCAACTCGGCTTGGCAGGTGTAAGAAAGCGGGAAGAGTGGGAGGGGAAGGGAAGGAGCCTGTTTGTGCTGTGGCACCACAAAGTGGCTCCTTTTGGATGGACTCCAGAGAGGCAAGGGCAGTACTCCATTGACTTTTGGACCCTGGAGACACCATTTTCCAAATGTCCCCCTCCCTTTTGGCAAGCACAGCCTAATCCAAGGGCATTTGTATTTTCAAAAGTCTCTTTACAGGCATCCCTCCCCATCTCTTGGCACACTTCTGTTATGGGCTATTCATACAGAACTTGGGCCTGCAGTAAATGTCCTCAGGTTGAAGTCTGCCCCACAGCCTTTTGCTGTTGTGGCTCTGAGCCACTGAGTGACTGCGCTGTTCTGTGGCAGGCAGCAGCTGGAGGAGATGCGCCTGAAAAATGAAAAGCTGGAAGCTGCCAGGAAGAAGAGGATCCAGAATAAAGGAACAGCTCCTACAAGCCACCTTACCTACAGAAGCACCAAGGCGTGGGATAGAAAGGTACCTCAGTGACAGCATTGTCTTTCCGAGTCAGTGATATGGCTCTGAGAGCTATGCCGAGCCATTGGTGCACCCATGGAGCAGAAATTCCAGGTTTGACTCCCTGCTTGAAGTTCAGAGACAACTTGTGTTGGCACTGCTTGCAAGCCCCAGTGTTGTGCCTTTCCACTTTGGCTCTCACTGGGATCTCTGTCCCAGTGAGACTGTAACTGTCCCCAGGGTTGGAGCAGCTCACAGCTTTGTCTCACCTGTGCATTATCCCAGCTGCAGCTTTGCTACAGCTCAGGTGTTTCTCTGCCGAGGTGCAGCGCATGCAGTACAACTCCATGCAGCCCCAGAACATCGTGGCACATGAAGAGAAGAGCAGAGTGAATGCTCTGCTGCAGCGTGAGAAGCTGATCCGAGACCTGGGCATCACCGAGCAGCTGTCCCAGCTGCTCTCCACGGCTGACACCCAGGGATCCTGCGCGCTCCAGGGCCAGGTAATGGCACTGCCCACAGCCACCCCACCACCCCACACAGACGTGGACTGGCGCTGAGCATCCCTGCTGGGGCAGGATGGGGGTCCACTGCAGGCACATCAGCTCCTGTGCCTTCAGGAGGATGAGTCTGGAATGGTGGAGGGGGCATACCTGGGGACAAAGTGCGGGCTGAAGCTTCAGTGTGCACCTGGGTGTGACTGGAGACTTTTCTTTCCCATCTCTTGCCAAGGCCTACAGAAGTAAGCCGTGGCCATTTTCCTTCCCTCCTTCCAGCTGCCGATTTCCTGGGATGCCATCGGGGACCACAACACCCACGATTTAATGATGCTTATGTCATTGCTGGGAGTCCCAGCTCAGCCCCCAGGACACGGGGTCATGCCCAGCCCTGGAGGCCGGGCCCTGCCGCGGCACGTCCCAGACCCAGATCCCAGCGACACGCAGGCCCTCTGCATTCAAGGCCAGAGCGTCCCGTACCACGTGCGGCACGAGGGCTCGCGGGTGCTGGGCGGGGGCTGGCTGCAGGGCCGGGCAGCGGGGGCGGTGGTCACCCAGCCCTGTGCCCACCCCAAGCGGCTGCAGCCGAGACACGAGTGCCTCCCTGGCACCGGGAGCCAGGCTGAAGGCTGTAAGTACACATCACCTACCCGTGGGTGCTCCTGCCAGGGTGGGAGGGATGGGTGGGCTCGATGGGGCTCTCAGGGATGCTGGGACACTGCAAAAGGGTCACCATGCTCTGTTTGGGTGACCACTGGAAATCTCTGAGGCTTGGAGCATCCCATTTGCAGGGACAGGGAAGAACCATGGGTGGTTTCCCAGGATCAAGGGTTGATGTGCAGGCATGGGGGAGTGCGAGAAGCCAGGAAACTCAAAGGGGTGCATTAGCTCCTGGGGTCAGAGGGGACATGGTGACGCAGCATAGCCCCAGACTCTTCCCACACTGCTGCCTGCCCGTGCTCTCACCCTCCATCCTCGCCCAGCCCGGCTCCCTGGCATCGGCTCCATCCACTTTGCAGCCTTAGGACCAGGGGAGCAGGGGCAGAGGAGGAGCTGTCAGACCAAGCCCCACAGGGAAGGGCAGTGGGGGCTGCTGATGTGCAGAACTGCTGGCTCTGTACAGCCCCACATCCATCTGTGCTGCTCCAGGTGATGCTGGTAGTGTGTCATCCTCCGATGGAGGCAGCTGTCCCCCCGCCTCCCCAGCCAGCCCAGAGCAGGCCACAGGTGATGGCATCTTCAGCTGTGCTGTGGTCCAGGAGCTTCCCACCGCCACTGCCGTTCACGATCAGCACACAGACACCTCACACCACGGCGAAGAGTCGCCATGCCCGTGTGTCACAGCGTGCCAGTGCCTCTCGCACTCACAGCCTGAAAAGCACAGGTAACACGGCCGAGGGCTCAGCCCTCCTCCCGTGTGTGCTTGCACGAGTACCAGGACTTGCTGGATGAAACCAGGACAGCTGCTGGCTGCCTCCACCAACTCTGGGGCCGGCTGCTGAGCCCCCTGACCAGAGCCTGGTCCCGGCATGGCTCCGGCCGCACCGGCCCCAGCTAGCTTCACGTCTGCCAGGACCGGAGACTGGTGCTCGTGCCCCTGTGCGTGCCTGCCCGCTGCGCCTGTGTCCGTGAATCCCTCCGGAGGCCAGCTCGCCGTGCGCCCGCCAGCGCCCCGCTTCCCCCGGCGGGGCCGGTCCCCCGGCGGCCCCGCCCGCGCCGGGCCGGTCGGTGCCATGGCGGGGCTGCTGCAGCGCGGCCTGCGGGCGCTGCCGCTCCTCGCCCGGGCCCCGCGGCGGGCGGCGGCGGCGTGGCCCGGGGACCCGGAGCCGCCGGAGCCGGCGCTGGAGGAGGCGCAGAGGTGCGGAGCGGCCGGGCCGGGCCGGGGCCCGCGCTGGCCCGGGCGCTCACGCGTGTTCCCCGCAGGGCGCGGCGGCGGCGGGCGGCGGCGCGGATGGAGCGGCTGCGGCGGGAGCTGGGCGGGCGGCGCGGAGCCCCCGATCGCACCCTGACCTGGCAGGCGATGGAGCAGCTGCGGTGAGCGCGGGGCCGGGCGGGGCGGGCCGCGCCGCGCCCTGACCGCCCGGTGACCGTGCCCGTGCCCTGCCCGCAGGTTCCTGCGGCGGGAGCTGCCCGAGGAGTGGCCGCTGGAGCGCCTGGCCCAGGGCTTCGGCGTCAGCACCGACGTGGTGCGGCGGGTGCTGCGGAGCCGCGGCTGCCCCTCACCGCGCCGCCGCCTGCGGCAGGACCAGCGGGCGCTGAGCGCCGCCGCCACGGCACCGCCGCCGGCACGGGGAGCGGGGCACGGCCGCGAGGTGCGCGCCCCCGACGGGACGCTGCTGTACCGGCTGCCGCGGGGCTGGGGCGGGCCGGGGCCCAGCGCGCAATAAACGCCGGGGGGACCCGCCTCCGCCTGTGTCGCTTCCGTCGCGCCGGGCGCGGGCTCCGAGGGCGCGGGGATGGGATCCGAGGCCGCGGGGATGGGCTCCGAGGCCGCGGAGGTGGGCTCCGAGGGCGCCGGGATGGGCTCCGAGGCCGCGGGGATGGGCTCCGAGGTGGCGCGGCTGCTGGACGCGGTGGACTTTGCAGCCAGGAAACACAAGGAGCAGCGGCGGATGGATCCGGAGGGCACCCCCTACATCAACCACCCCATCGGTGCGGACCCCCCCGGCACCGCGTCCCGCTCCCGGGAGCCCCCCGCGGTCCCTCTCCCAGAGCACCGCTCACCCTGGGATCCCTCCTGCCCCGGCGCGCTGCCCCGCCCCGGGAGCCCCTCACCCTGTCCCTGGAGAGAGCCGTGTCCCTTGTCCCTAGCACGTCCTTCGGCCCGGTGGGGGCAGAGCTGCCGGAGCACTGCGGCCCCGGCCCTGCCAGGCCTGGGGACACCCCCACTTTGGGGCAGTGCCGGCCCCCGGGACCTTCCTGCCTGCCCGGCCGGAGCGTTCACCGCGCAGGACGGGCCCAGGGCTGGGCTCTGGCAAACCTCCGTGCCCACCGTGCAGCACAGTCCCCGTGCCGCCCTCCGGGCCCCGGGCTGCCTGCTCCCCGCTGCCTCCTCCCACCTCTCCGTTCCCCCTGCAGCCGTGGCCCGGATCCTGGCGCATGAGGCCGGCGTGACGGACCTGGTGGTGCTGCAGGTAACGCCGTGTCCCGCCGTGCCCTGCCCGCCGTGCCCGAGCCCCGCACTGCCCCGGTGCCCGCTCCCGCAGGCCGCCCTGCTGCACGACACGGTGGAGGACACGGCCACCACGCCGGCGGAGCTGGAGGAGCGGTTCGGCGCGGCGGTGCGGCAAGTGGTGGAGGAGGTGACGGACGACAAGCGGCTGCCCAAGGCGGAGCGCAAGCGGCTGCAGATCGAGCGCGCTCCCGCCTGCAGCCGCCGCGCCAAGCTGGTCAAGCTGGCCGACAAGCTGCACAACCTGCGCGACCTGAACCGCTGCACCCCGCAAGGTAGCGGCTGAGCCCCGCACCGGAGCCGGGGCACCGGGAGCACGGGGGGACCGGAGGACCCGGGTAGCGGAGCGGCACCACGGGCCGGGCCGGTGCTGCTGACCGTGCCGAGGGACAGAGGAGCCCCGCGGCTGCCCCGGGCCGGGGGGCGGTGCCGGCAGTGTGTCGGTGCCGGTGGGACCGGGACGACGGGGCCGGAAGTGACGTGCGCTGTCCCCGCAGGGTGGTCGGAGGAGCGCGTGCAGGAGTACTTCCGGTGGGCGGCGCGCGTGGTGTCCGGGCTGCGCGGCACCAGCGCGGCCCTGGAGGGGGCGCTGCAGCGCCTGTTCGAGGAGCGCGGCGTGCCCACGTGACCGCCCCTCCGCCAATAAACGCGCGCACAGCTCTCCGCGTCCCCGCGTTGTCATGGTACCGCGCCGTTCCTCCGCCGCCGGGTTCCGGCCGCGCCGTGCCCGCGCTCGGCCGTTCCGGTGGCGGGCCGGCCCCCGCCATGGCGCTGGCCGGGCAGCGCGACGCGCCCGAGCCGCCGGACTTCGGCATCCTGAAGCGGCTGGCGCAGGACCAGCTCGTCTACCTGCTGGAGCAGGTCCGGGGCCGCCCGGGGCGGGCAGCGCGCGGCGGGGCGGGCGCGGGGAGCCGCGGCACCGGCGCTGGGGCGGGCGCGGGAGGGACCGGGCCGGGCAGCCGCCGAGTGCCGGCCCGTGCCCGCCCGCCCGCAGCTCCCCGGGAGGAAGGACCTGTTCATCGAGGCCGACCTGATGAGCCCCCTGGACCGCATCGCCAACGTGTCCATCCTGAAGGTACCGCGGGTCCGCTCGGGCCGGCCCTGCCCGCGCCCGCCCGCGCCCACCCGCGCCTGTCCCCGCAGCAGCACGACGTGGACAAGCTGTACAAGGTGGAGACCCGGCCGGGCCCCGGCGCCAGCGACCAGTGAGTGCCCCTGGGCCGGGCTGGGCCGGGCTGGGCCGGGCAGGGCGGCCCCGAGCCCGGCCCGGTTCCAGCGGCCCCTCCGTGCCGCAGGTTCTGCTTCCTGGTGCGGCCGCGGGTCCGGACCATGCGCTTCATCGCCGGTGAGTGCGGCCCTTCGGCCGGGGCCGCCGCCGTGCCCGGCCCGAGGGGCGCCGGGCGAGCCCCGCTGCCGGCTGTGCCCTGAGCCCCGGTGAGCGGGCCCTGCCAGCCCGGGGAGCGGCGCCTGGCGGGTGGGCAGCTGTGCAGGGGCTCTGCGGGGTCTCCACAGATATTGTCAACGCCGACAAGATGTCGGGGAGGAGCAGGAAGTACAAAATCATCTTCAGCCCCCAGAAGGTCAGTGGGAGCCGCAGTGTTCCCCCGTCACTCTGTGCCTGCCCAGCCTTTTCGCCTTCCACCCGTTCTGTAGGCACCAAAACCGTTTGTTTGTAACCCAGAAAAGCTTCAGTAAACCCAAGTGTTGTGACACCTGGGAAGGCGCTGGGCCCCTCCTGCTCACAGCCTGCCTGGCCCTGAGGGTCTCCCCTTCCCTTGCAGTTCTACGCTTGCGAGATGGTGCTGGAGGAAGAGGGGGTCTTTGGTGGTGAGTGGGCTGCAGTGCTGCCTCGGGGTAGCTGACACCACAAGATCCCAGTTAAATCCCAGTGCTGGGATCCCCGTGTGGGCAGGGGCAGGCGGGTGGGCAGGGAACACGGGTTCTCTCGAGGCTGGCTGCCGGCCTGCAGGAAGAAGTGTGCCCACACAGCATCAGCCCCTCTCTTCTGCCCGAGGAGAGGAGAGAGGGTCCTGCCACCCATCCTGTCTGAAGCTCCACAGGCCCTGTTTTGGGGCTTCTGTGATTTCTGGGGCACTTCCTGCCCAGGGCTGCATAACTGTGCCTGTCCCTGTCCCGGACACAGATGTCACCTGTGACGAATGGTCCTTCTACCTGCTGCCCCTGGATGAGGACATCATTAGCATGGAGCTGCCCGAGTTCTTCCGTGACTATTTCCTGGTCAGTGGGACGTTGTGCTGGGGTGACAGCCCATCCCGTGCCCCGTGCCTCACTGGGGCTGGGGACAAGCTGCTGGCAGGGAGGAGGCGTGTGGTGCCCTGCTCAGCCCTCAGCCTGCACCATGGGCCCCGTGCACTCCCCAGGGGCAGCTTCTGTGGGGCAGTGGCTGCCGGGCCCTGAGCTGGCCGAGCAGCTTTGGGGCAGTTCCTGCTGTGACTGGGATGAAGCTCCCAGCTCCATGCCCAGCCCCAGCAGTGGCAGTCCTTGCCAGCCAGCTGCCCACACTCACTGCCTGGTCCCACAGGAGGGAGATCACCGCTGGATCAACCCCATCGCCAGAGCCCTGCAGTTGCTGAGCTCCCTTTACGGCCCCTTTGGGAGGACGTACGGCATCGGCCGCTGTGCTAAGGTGTGGCTGGCACCAGGGGTCCCCTGGGTCCCCATCAGGGCTGTGGGGACCTGGACCCCATCAGCCACAGGGCAGCACACCACAGAGGTGTCGCTGCGCTGTGCCTCCTCCTGGGCAGGCTTTTGGGGGTCCTGTATGCCAAGGTGGGCAGCAGAGGGGCTCACTAGGGTGTGGTGGAGCCCCCGTGCCCCGCGGCACGGAGCATTTGTGCCTGACCTTGGCTGTCAGCCCTGCTGTGTGCCAGGGCCCTTGGTGGGAGCCCGGGGCTGCTCCCTGCCCTGGCACCCTCTGCCCCTCACAGATGAGCTACGAGCTGTGGCGGGACTTGGAGGAAGAGAGCGAGAGTGAAGGCCAGGGCAGGAAGCCCGAGATTGGACATGTCTTCCTCATGGACAGAGGTGGGCTGAGGCAAGGGCAGCGGCCAGGGCTGCGCTGTGGGTGCAGGGAAGGCTGTGTGGGGCGGCAGGAGGAGCGGGAGGGCAGCCTGGCTCCGGCTCTCCCCGCAGACACCGACTACGTGACAGCGCTCTGCTCCCAAGTGGTCTACGAGGGGCTGGTGGACGACACCTTCCGCATCAAGTGTGGTACGTGACTCGGGGAGGGCGGCGGCAGCAGGGGCTCTGTGCTCGGAGCAGGGCAGCACGGGGCTCTGTGCTCACAGCAGGGCAGCTCGGGGCTCTGCACTCGGGGCTCTGCGCTCACCTGGCCAGCGTTTGCAGGGTTTGTGCCTGGCATTGTCCGGCTCCGTGCTGTTGGCACAGGGGCAGTCCCAGCGTGGGGTGCTGCTGGAGATCATCCACAGAGAGTCCTCACTTTGACCAAGCGACTGGGCTGGCACCCCCAGGCTCTGCTGCCTCTTACAGCAGGGCTCATGCTCATGGGACAAAGCAGCTCTCCACTTTTCCCTGCAGGCAGTGTGGATTTTGGGCCAGATGTCACCTCTTCTGACAAGAGTATTAAAGTGCTGCTCAATTCCCAGGACAAAGTGAGTCCTCACAAGCCTCGGGGAGTCCCCTTGGTGGGAGGAGGCACAGTGGAGCATTCCCTCCCCTAAGCTTGAGCAGTTGGGGGCTGCTCGGAGCATGGGTTCAGGCACAGAGACCAAAGAAACCTGGTGCAGCTCCACTTCTGAACCTGCCAGAGTCCCTGCACGCAGGGCTGTCACAAATGAGTGTTTTAAGGTCACTGAAGGAATCCCCAGCAAAGGCATCTGTAAAAACAGGTTTAATGTAAAAGCTGCAGTATGACAAAATTCATTGGCAAAGTTCTAAATGGTTAAAGCACACGGATAAAAAGCAAAAAAAATTATAAATCAATGAATCAAAACCAAAATCAACCCAAAAATATCTACATGGAGGTGGAGGCGGGGAATGAGGGGGGAATCAAAAGAATAGAAAAGGAATACAGAAGACCCTCCTGTTGAGTCACGGGGTTCATAGTTATCTTCCATCCTGGCCACAATTCAGGTTGTATTTTACTATGGAATTTGACAATTAAAATATTACCCCACTTGGGCTTTTAGTGAGGTTACAAAAATAATTTTCCCAGGCTGTTCCTTAAAAAGCAGGAGCTGGTTAGACAGTGCTAGTTCCTAGGAAGAGAGAGTGTTTCTGCTGAGCTGGGAGGACCCAGGCCATCAGGGCTGATCCCTGAGGAGCATGTCTCAGATCACCTGTGGCCTGAGGGACACGCTGGCACTGCTGTGCTGCCAGCCAGGGCTCTGGGGCACGGGGTGGCACGTGGCCCGTGGGTTGTGTGAGCGTTGGCTCTGTCTGCAGGGCTGCAGCTGGCCGGGCCCTGGCAGCTGTGGTGCTTCCACAGGTGTTCAGCCAGATCCGGAACGAGCACTTCTCCCGCGTGTTTGGCTTCCTGAGCCAGAAGTCGCGGAACCTGCAGGCGCAGTACGACGTGAGTGTCCCCCACACGCGCGTGGCACCGTCCCTCACAGCCTGGCCTGGCCGCCACCCCCTGCTCTCCCTCCCTCCCGCAGCGGCGCCGGGGCATGGACATCAAGCAGATGAAGGACTTCGTGTCTCAGGAGCTGAAGGGACTGAAGCAGGAGCATCGCCTGCTGAGCCTGCGTAGGAACCTGGGGCAGGGGGCCTCGGCTGTTCCACACGTGCCGGAGCTGCGGGGAAAGCAGAGGCTTGGGGGTCTTGGATGGGCCCAGCAGGGCAGGGCAGGGGCTGTTGGCGTGTGCTAATAGTGCCTGCAGAGCCCTTTCCCCTCCAAAGCTTCTCTGTCTCTTGGCTGTGTAGATATTGGTGCCTGTGAGTCTATCATGAAAAAGAAAACCAAGCAGGACTTCCAAGAGACCATCAAGGCTGAACACTGTGAGTGCTGCTCCATCTGTGCCTACCCCAACCCCAGTCTGACCCACAGCCTCGCTTGCCCCAGGCCCAGGCAGCCTCATGCCTGGGCGTTCCCTGCCTGGCCACATCCTCCCAGTCCCTTCTGGGGTTGTCTCAAGATCCTCGGTAGGGCCAGGCTGCGCTCTCTGAGACAGAACGTGTGCTGGGGTGGGGGCCCCATTCCCTGGGGTGTTGCGGGGGCAGCGGAGCCCACAGCCCAGCTCAGCGGGCTGGCAAGAGCCCTGGGTGATGCTGTCTGTGCCCCTGCTGCAGCGCTGCTGGAGGGCTTTGACGTCCGTGAGAGCACCAGCTTCATCGAGGAGCACATTGACCGGCAGGTGAGAGCACGGGGACGCCCGCTCAGCCGCCCCGCCCTGCCCCGCTGACCCCCGCTCCCCACAGGTGTCCCCCGTCGAGAGCCTGCGCCTCATGTGCCTCCTGTCCATCACAGAGAACGGTGAGTGCCCGCTCTGCTGGGCCAGCAGGGCCACCGAGCCCAGCCCGGGCACGGGGCTCACCTGGTGCTCCCCACAGGTCTCATCCCCAAGGACTACCGCTCCCTGAAAACCCAGTACCTGCAGGTGAGGGCCGGGAGTCACTGCTGGGCAAGGGCAGGGTCCCCTCCCTGCGCTCCTGGCCACGAGGCACTGGGCAGCAGTGCT